TTTTTTTTTTTTTTTTTTTTTTTTTTTGGAATATTTTTGGAATATTTTTGGTTTGGTTTGGTTGTTGATACCCTTTTGATGTCTTTGGACGTTGATATACATATATAAGACGTAATGTCTACTGATATAAATCGATATATACGATGTCGAATTCTTTACAGTACTTGTAGTGATAATACCCAAACCGGTAAGCCGATCACCCCACCACAGGTGGATTAGACGCGACACGCGAACACACGCGCCCCTCATCATCTTCAGCATCGCATCGCATCTGTGCACTGTCGCTCTTCCTTTGTCTAGATAAGCGGGCGCATACCGACTCCATGCGCCTGACTAATTGATCCTATCGACTGGACGAACATTGAATTTGCACAGCGCCAACTCCACCTACCTCTCAAACCGCAACGCAACGCAACGCAAACAGCACAACCCCTCCACCATCCTCCAACAAACCAAATCTTTCGCAACAAAAAACCAACAAAATGACCTCCCGCCGCCTCCTCATTTTCCAAGAAGCCCGCAACCCCCAAAACCCCTCCGAACTCATCTACCTCCCCGTCAACAAACTGGGTCTCCCGATCTGCGGCCCCGGTCCTGAACTCCCTTCGATCCTCGAACTGCCGCTGCGGATTCTGCGCGCATTTACGGAGATTTTCAATCAGCCTAAATTTAAGGGGTGGTGCGTTTTTGCCCCTGTGTGCAGATTGCGTTGCGTTGGTTTATATGCGGGGGGTATAGCGGGGTGCTAATAAATGAACGATGTAGGGCGATCATATCTGCAGGACCATACCACGATGTCTCGGAAGAAGGGAAATACTACGCTGTTGTGCTGGAGCAGGTACGGGATGCGTTGAATAGTAGTGGTGGACCGAGGGATTCGGTGGCTTCGTTGGCGGGTTGATGTGGTTTACTTTGACTCTTTGCGCTGGGCATTGTTTACGTCTACTTCTTCTTTGTTGTATTCTGCAGTTGATACACTTGTATACATATGATGACGATGATGATTTGCTTTTGTTTGATTAATGGGTATGCATGGTTAATGGTAATGATCTAATGGGATGCGTTTGTTTTGTTCCTTTGTTCGGTTTGATAGACTTGATATTCACAGCCCTACTTCTAATTTCCCACAAACACCCCTCTGATCTTCTCTCTCCTCCCCCTCCTACATCCCCAAACTATCCAGGTCAACAGTACTCTACACAGCCAAAATGACCGTAAGCCACCCTCTACTCCAACCAAGCCACCCCCATCCCAGTTTGACCAACTAACCCAACCAGGAACAACCCCAAACCCTCCTCCTAATCTTCCGCAAAGAATCCCCCGACCTCTTCCACCTCCTCAACGAAACCGGCCTCCCAATCTCCGCAACCTCCCCGCTACTCACCTCCCAAACGCAAGGCAAGACGCTTGTTGTTGCGCCGCTGCTCCTCGTCGCGGTTACGGAGGCGATGCGTGCGAATCAGGATGTTTTTGGGGGGTTGTAAGTCGCCCTGCCTCTGGACACAGATTGCGTTGCGCCCAGCTTTTATGTTATACTGTATAGTGGTTTGCTTAAGGAAGCTAACAAGAGGCTTGTGGATAGTGAATACCTAATGAGCTGGACAGCAAGCGACTTCCGCCATTTCTACGTGATTCTCGAGAAACGGCCTCCTCCCAAGGCTACATCCGATGATAATAACAACGACTCCTCTTCCTCGCCGTGGGGTGATAAACCCGATGACCAGAAGTCGAACTCGGGTGGTTGGGGTGATAACAACAACAACAACAACAACAACAACAACAACAACGATACCAACAATAACAATGACAGCAGTAATGACCAGAATGGAAACTCGGGTTCGGCTTGGGGAGACAATAACACTTCGAATGATAACAATAATAACAGCGGCAATGATGCCTGGGGTGCTCCTCCCGGTAGCCCTGTGAAGGATAACAGCAGCAACAACGCTGGATCTGAATTCAAGAACCACGAGTGGCCTGCTGGCATGGTAAACGCGAATAACCCGAACGGCAACGGCAACAGAAACGGACGTGGACGCGCTGCTAGCGGGACTTCTGATTGGGATGTGCGGGATTGGGCGAGGAGTCCGAGTGAGGTGGGAGGAACTAGTGCTGGTGCTTGGGGAGGTTCAGGTGGTACGCCTGGTAGTTCTAAGGGGAAGAGTGGTGGTTGGTAGTGTAATCGTACTCTGAATACTGTGCGCTTGTATGATGTGTCTAAAGCAGATGAATGGCAAATTAATATAGCTTGGATATTATTATAGCAGCAGCGTAAACAAACAACCATCAAGAACGAGAAGACAAGACCTCTCTGATCATTCCCTAAAGAACCATATAAAGAAGAAAAGAAAGTACTATTCCGCTGATCAGCATAAAACATAGATCATATGGATCATTCGGTTTTCCTTAGCTATTAGCTATACACAGTAACGACATCACGCATAAATATTTGCCGGCGGCAGCAATTTCGCCCCATACCGCAAATCAAATGACCGCGAGTCATTCGGATCGAACATGGCAGCTTGTCGTTGTTCAAGGTAGATGGCTAAAGGGTCAGTCAACATGCGCTGCGATAAATGAAGAGGCGACTTACGAGAAACTTGAACCATCTCGAACCATCTCACAGCATTTTCGTCACTGCCATCCACAGCCTTTAAGAATCCCGTGTCCGGTCGTGGAGTAGCCTTTGGCGGTAGACTGCGCATCTTCAGCAACATATGCAGAATGTCCGAGAAGCGGTCACCCTGGTTGGAGTAGTACGGAGGCCGCTTGTCCAGTGGCCAGCGTTGCGTAAAGGTGTCATCGTCCCAGGAACGGAAGAGCCAGCACGCCCGCTCCACGCAGTTCAGAAGGATAAGGGCCACCAGGAACGTTTCAAACCAGCCACTTTGTTGGCGCTGAAGGAGTCTGCGTTCGAGGTCGTTCATCACGGACTTGCTGAGTTGTGAGGCGCGCTTTTCTGTTGCTGCCCGTAGCTGGCTGCATAGGAGGGAATATGATTCTGGGTTGGTGATTTCGTCAATCGGCATACGTCCGTCGTCGGAGGGTTGTGCAAGAGAGTGCATCGAGGTTGGCGGCAGAGTGGGATTGCAGTATGTCTTCCAACGGAGCTCGGAGTCGACCAGGATGTGTGTTGCAACCCAGAGCTCAAGCACGCGTTCCAGGAGAGTGTCCTATGAAGTCAGTTTCTGCTTTTTCTCGCCGAAATATCTCGACATACCTTCTTTACTTGGCTCAACTCCGAGGCCAGCAGCAGAGTAGGCTTCATAAAGTCGGATGCTTCGCGCTCGTAGAAGAACGGAGCAGTCTTTTTAATGTACATTTCAAGCTTGCCCGGCAGATCGTCTGCATCACTGTCAAGTAGATGCAACTCGTGTAAAGGCCCCTGGAATTGGTCTTCTCCAAGGCCTTGAAGCTGCGGGTCCAATGCCGACACGGACGGCTTATGCCCTTGGAGACCGCTAAATGTGACAAAGATCATGCTCTCTTCGAAATGCGTCACTTCGATGCGACCAGCATAGTGTTCGAACTTGACTTGGTTTCGGATACTGCTCACGTCATGGTAGGCAAGCGTTGCATGCAGGTCTACAACAGTTAGCGAACGTCTCGAAGGCACAGAGAGTGGGAAAGGGAACGTACTTGCGTTGTACAGTTCAAATTCTTCAGCAATACGCGTCCTGATACATGGATGCTTCCAAAGACGCGCACTTTCAACGCTGGCGCAGGTTGTACACGGGCTGTCACCGGAGCACTAAACAAGTCAATATCGACCCGAATACTCACATCGGAATAAACATACCGGCTTCTTAAGCATACGACAACGAATGCATGCACCCCGTTTCCTAACTTCCTGAACCTCCCTACGACGAGCCGCAGAAAACCGCCCGCGCACCTTAGGTTTTGACGGCTTGGTCGAGTTACCGAATTCGTTGACGAATCCCTTGGCCTGGGAGTTCGGGTTCATAGCAATCGGACGAGGGAAAGTGGCGGCCCGTTGCGTCGCAGCGGTCAACGAGGGATCGTGTTCTTGGAGACTTTCGAAGAGGAGCTGTTCGTGGGTAGAGAGCTGTTGGTTCCAAGGCGCCAGCCTGGATAGACCCTCTCCAAGACCTGTACCATCGTGGTCCAACGACAAGCCTTGTGGGACCATCTCACTAGCCGACGCGGCGATCATCGACAGTTGCGACTGGCGAGCGTTCGCCCCAGGATCAGGTGTCAATGATGCCTCCAACTGAGGAGATGCAGACGACGGTTGATCTTGCGAGGTATTCGGAAGAGCGGGGATGCCGGACGCGCTGGGTTGAGGGGAGTCTGGGACTGTTGTTTGTTAGCCAAGTCCACAATGCAGACGCGACAATCAACTAGCCAACTTACTTTGTGGTTTAATGTCCTCTTCAAGATTATCCGGTTGGATCGGATTACCCTGGAAGCCCTCTGCCTCAAGCGCCGGATCGACGACAACAGTCTTACCCCCGACAGTGGACTGGGTGTACGCGGGCGCCCCATTATTGCTGTTGCCATTGTTCCCACCATTGTTGCCATTATTACCCCCCTGACCCCGTTTACCAGTATCGGACGCGCCCACCTGTCTCGACGCCTCGGCCAGCACGTTCAAACCATCAAAGTTCTGGCGAGTGGTAAAAGGCAGATCATCGACACCTTTGCCTTTCGCCGCCCTTGCAAGGTTCTGATCTTTGTTTAGATCGCCGTCGGCCAGGTCGGGAAGTTCATGGAGTCGTAACAGGACGCGTTGACGGTCACGGAGGGGAATGGCCTGACATTTCTTGACCAGATGGTTGGTTAAACTATCGATGCGACCTTTGGGGAATTTCTCGCCGCAGGCCTTGCAGGTGTGTTGGTAGCGGTTACTGGCGTCCTCGAGCTTCTGGCCGCGAATGAAAAACTCGAGGATGAGCTGGTTTGGTTTGCGACCCATTGCGGGTGTTTTAATCGAGGTCTCTATGGTTGCGATGGGAGAGGGTTGTGGCTCGTGTTGTTGTATTATTATTGTTTTGTGCGAAGTCGAGGAACTAACACGTAATGCGCAAAGCGAAACCACGAGAAAACAGAGAGTCGAGTAGCAGAATTCAAAACAATCCTACCAACAAATCTAGGGTTAGTATAGTTCTTGTAGGGATCGTGGCAGAATCAATAATACTGCCGCAAGAATCACGACCGGAATTGATAGAGAGGGGTGTGGGTGGTCGAAACTCGATGGCAAAAAAAGGGTGTGGCAGCCACACGGCGAGGAAAACGCACCACTTGCGCAATTCTTTGCTGGGTATCAATTTCCCTATCAATCAACGTCCAGAACAAAAAAAGACCACTCCAAAGCACAACAGTAGCTGAGCTTTGGGTCACCGCGAAAGATCAGACGAACGCCCGTTACGTCGAAGGATGGCAAAAACACGCCGACAGTGGGCGGTCTGGGAACAAGGCAAAGGCGGCTTGCTGAGATGGCTTCACCGCACAAAAGGCGGTGATGAGATCGGTCAGTCGAGATTAACCAGAGATGGTTAAAGAAATGTACGAAGAGCAGATGGTTGATGGATGAGAGAAGGATGAAGGGCGATGAAGGACGAGACGAGAGATGAAGAAGGAAGGAGAGATTCCAGTGACGAGCTCGACTGTACTACAGCTCTTACTACTCAGCTATCGCTACAATAGGCAAGAGACCGCTCTTCCATTGCAATCCACTCTACAAAATAACAATATAATTTCATCATTTTATTATTTTTCATTTTTGTCCTCTTTAAAACTTTTCTTTTCAACAGTAGTAGTGTGCATTGCGGGCTTCCTCTCGTCTGTATGGATACACATCTACAGATCCATATGCACTCCCGTCACCGAACAATTATCATGCATTAGCGATTCTAGATCTAGCAATAGCAGGCTCACATCACGCCCCACGTCTCCAGAATCAGGATTTCAGCAAATACGATGCCCCGGAGGCCGCCAAGGCACGCCCAACAGCTCAAAGATGCGTCGTTCATCCCGTCCCTCGACCAAACGTCCCTCCGTCAACTTCTTCCGCTGCTCTCCACGCAAAACATCCGCATAGAGACCTCGTTGGTTAAAACGCATGCCTTTTTTACTAGCCAAGAGACGCATACTGCGGTTGAAGATGTCGTTGCCCGTGAAGTAGATCAGCGCCGCTCCGATCTGGGATCCAGGCACGAAGAGCAGATCGATCCGTCGCCAAATCGGGCTGCCGGGTAGTGCGGACGCTCCGTGCCATTTAGATCCATCCCCGCGGGACGTGCTAGCTAAGCTGAATTGAAGGAATCCCTGCTGGAATAGGTCCGGGACTACGACTTCCATCATCAGTGTGCGGATCTGCTCGATCGTTGCGTCGGGTTTAGTGATTAGCATGTCGATGTCTCCCGAGTTGGCGGCCCCTCGTCGGTATGATCCACTGATTATAGCTTGCATGTTGGGATCGGCCTTGTGTATAGCTTTTTGGACGACGGCACCATGTGTTTCAACTTCCTTCCGTGGAATAAGTTGCGCGAAATCATCATAGTGGTCGACTCCGATTCGTTGCGATTTGGTCAGTGACGCTTTCGTTTTCAAGTCGTCAAGCGTCTTATACCCTTGAGCGACCCATCGAGATGCCTGAGAGGCGCCAGCACCATACACTCCCAGGAACTTCTGGAGAATCAAGTCCTCCGGTGAACAGTTGGCATTCTCTAAGCGACGTAACCGGTTCGTGAAAACAATCTCCTCGATCTTGTCTGCCAGACGTGGTCCGATTCCTGTAATCGCCCTAGCTTGCGTTCGTGTTACGATCCTCTTGGGTTGTCTACGAAGAGCACTAATGGCCTTGCGATAGGCAACCACTCGCCAGTGATCTGCAGTCCTCTCGTAGTAATCGAGCATTTGCTGCAAGACCTCGATCGTTCGGCTGTTAGGGCTCTTGGAATCCGAATTCACTTCGTGTTTCTGCATGCACGCAAATCGTTGCTGCCATGATTCTACCACTGGGTCGGGCTTTTGCACAGATTTCCTTCTTTTCTCTTCTGTTTCAGAGTTGGAGCCCTCTGGATCTGTTGCACCTGTATCTTCCTCTCCAGGTTCTAACTCGTCCAAAGGCTGCAATAGTCAGCTAAAGCATCATGGAACAATAATCAATTAACTCACCAGGTCCTTCGTGGCTTTGGTTTCCTCGATGATATCATCTAGGGCATCGCGTTCACGAGCGGGACCTTCTTCATGCGCGCGGACAGGCTCCGGCTCGAGTTGCTGTCCCTGAACTGGTTGATTATCTTGGCCACTCGACATCTGCTCTGACTCTGTCGGAGTATGTTGCAGTGGCCTCTTTGGCGGTTTCAGCGGTAGAGAACTAGCTGACGACTCCTCGACCTCGACATACCGCTCTTTAGCCACAGATGGCGTCGGAAACCCACTAACGCGAAACCGTGATTGCGCAGGGTTCAGCACGCACCGAAACTTGATACACTCAGCAGGATAACCTTCATCCACCAGGGCGATGGTACCCGGAAAAATGTTCAGCTTCATATGACGAAGGAGATCCTCATACTTCAATCCCTTATCGACAATCACATGCGTCACATTATCTCCCCACGATCGAGCCCAGAAGGCACCGTATTCCTGCGCACGCTGAATCCGCAAACGTCGTACGGGCGAGACATCGCTGTTGGGGAAGAAGACTAGACACAGGTTAGTTCCTTAGCACCCATGAAACTAGGAGACGACTAACAGAATACAAGACCCTTGAAGATCTGCTGCTGTTCTGGCACAGTCCTGGCAGCATAGGTTCGTCTTCTCTTGCAAGGAGGGCCTTCCTGTTTTCTCTCAGACAGAGTCCTTGTTGTCTTTGCGGTCTTCAACGGCGGTGATCTCTTCGCCGTAGACACCATCTCGTCTGTCCTGGCCGCCGTTTCGCTCCGTGATGAAGACTCAGGCACTGTATTCGTATAGGAGAGTCCCAAACCCGCCGAAGACGACGAAGACGTAGGCACGAACGAAGGCGTAGAATCCGTATCCTCCGCACTTCTCCTCGAAAAACTTATAAGACGAGCAAAGTCATCACCATCACCAACCTCGTTATCGTTGTCGTTATCCGTCAAATCATCCAACTCCTCGAGCCCTTTGAAAAAGGTCTCTTTATTAGTATTCTTAGTCGTCGCTTCCCCCATTTGTAGGGTTGTCTGGAGCTCGACAGCAAGATTTGGCCAGCCATGGATAATTCTGTGCGGCCTGCTGCCTAGAAAATGAATATCAGTAATGCAAGATGTGGTCGAGTTGTGAACGTCTTAATGTACCACAGTAAGGGCAGGGGGGGGAAACCATGGAACGGCGCGAAGTCACGGGACCTCGCTGATAGGGAAGGTGATAACGTCGGAGTTGAAAACATCGCGGAAGGACCAACGGGGAAGTCAAGCAAGCTATTAATCACTCTGGTCAACATGTGGAAGCGCTCATTATCCGTCTCGCCTTTGACAGGGTATTCCCTTTTGCAAGGGGGCCGCTGTCTCAGCTGTCAATTCCGCAATCCTGCTGCCGTTGCTCTTCTCCGTTCGAGGCCGTCGCTACGCTACTACTCGACTCCGAATCTGAATAAAGACGAGCCGACATCTACCCCCTCAAAACCGTCAGATCGAGTCCAATTCAACCAGAACCCCTCCCCATCGCAACCAAACAAACCCAATGAACAGCAATACACACCCCGCGCCCTGGACCGCCCAATCGGTTCGGTGATCCCACCCCAAGAAGGCCAAAACACCGGCCTTGACGAACGAACCCTCCGACAAAGACGAGATGACTTCGTCAGCTACGATAGACACATTGAGCGGCGGAAGGAATTGTACGTCCCCATCCCGTCTCCCCCAGCTACTAAATGACAGGTCTAATGGCAGTGACATACAGGACAAAACAAGTCGCAAAGCCCTACTTCCGCGAATGGACCAACATGCGCTACCACGAAGGCAAAACCTTCCTTTCGAACATCCGTCTCTTTAAACGTGATAAAGCCCTCTACTTTCCCAACATGTTCGGCACCACACTCGCCTCTCCGAAGCAGCCGCAGAACACAACCTCGCTCTTCCGTGGCCGGATCTCCGTTGTTAATGTGTTTTCGAGCGTCTGGGCTGAGACGCAGGTTGCTACTTTTACTAGTGAGAAGCATAACCCGGAGCTTTATGAGATATTGAATGGTGTGAAGGGGGGTGTGGGGGTTGCGCAGAAGGTTGATATTAATCTGGAGGAGAATATGTTTAAGGCGTGGTTGGTGAGGATGTTTATGTGGCAGATGAGGGGGAAGTTTGCGAAGGAGCAGCATGATAGGTATTTCCTGGTGAGGAAGGGGATTACCGATGGGATTAAGGAGAGCATCGGCATGATGAACAGCAAGGTTGGGTATGTTTATCTGCTGGATGAGAACTGTCGCATTCGGTGGGCTGGAAGTGGTCCTGCGCAGGGACCGGAGATTGATGCTTTGAACAATGGTATCAAGAGGTTACTCGAGGAGAAGAGGATAAGCAAGGAATCCGAGATGCCGGCAGAGACTTGGAGGGACGCAGATAAGGCCAAACCCAGGGTCATTGTATAATTATTTTGGTATGTACAATAGCATAGACGTGTATAACGGGGAACCACGCCCATCCAAAGCATTATTAAATATGTGTTCGAGTCCGTTCAAACGCCTGACCCATATAAACAGCCCATGCCAATCAACAGAATGCACAACGAAAAAGACAGGGGAAAATCATCTAAAAATCAACAACATCAAAAAACAAAACCCAACAAACGCCCCCAAAATAATCGCATCCCTCCTCCTCTTCGACCCAATCTTCCCAATCAAATGATTCACCCCAGGAACCTTACTCGCAGCCCCCACAATCCTCCGATTGACACTCGCCAACGTCTCCCTCTGCAACCCAAAATTTTCATTAATTGCATACGCCTGACTCAACACCCCATCCATCACGCTATGGCTCTGATCGATCCGCCCCCGCTCCTCGAGCATATAGTCCGCCTCTGCGGCGGCGGGGTTGGAGGCGCGGTAGGCGTCGATGTCGGAGCGGACGTTGGAGAGGAGATTTGCGCGGTCGCGGGACTCGGCGATGGCGGAGGTTAGGCGGTTTAGTTCGCGGCGGTGGTCGGTTAGGATTTCGCGATGGCGGGTGAGGTTGTTTTGTTTGAGGGCGGAGGAGGTGAGGGTTGCTTCGGAGTCGAGGAGGCGGGATAGTTGGGCGATTAGTGTCTCTCTCTATCGTGTTATCTATTAGCCTCTGTCCGTTGTCTCTCCATGTTCTGTATATTATGCAGAGCGTACTTTCTGGAGAAGGTCTTTGAGCTGCGACTCTAGGCGGAGTTCTTCTTCTGCGGGGGTTGGTGGGGGTTTGGTCATGGAGGCATATTGGGCGTATGTATGGAAGAGGTTTTCTGTCTGTATCATCATCATTAGCATCTCTGTATCCCCCATCGATGGCAGTCTGTACACACCTGCGTCTCAAGCGAGCGGGCCTGCTGCCGGAGCTGAGCCCACCCGGTTCCAGTCGAAGAAGCCATACGGTCAGATGATCAGATTAGGACGAGAGTAATCTCAAAGCACAAGAAAGATAAGATGTGAAGAAGGACAGTTAGACCAGCTACTGACAACAAGCCAACAACGACATTGCCTATCTCGGCCCGCAACAGCCATAACACCTCCGGATAACGTAAAAGCGGAGACACAGACACTGTGGCTAATGCATCAGCCACACCGCATCACGTGCCCGCTTAAGGCGGCCACACGAAGCGGAAAAGCAGAAAAAAAAGCCCTAGTCCCACAACGAAAGGCAATCCCCCCAATTTGACCCGGTCCATCTTCAATTCTCTCGTCGACAACCCGTACGACTCGATTTGAAGCCGCCCACCATGGTATGTTTGCGCGTTATTGTTCCTGCTGTTCTATTCGCAATGAACCATTTTTTGAGGAATTTACGATGAATTTTTAACGATCGAAAACTGACGAGTTTGCGTGATGGTAGTCGACAAAGGTCAAGACTGGTCAGCTCTGGGGAAAGAGCAAGGATGATCTCACCAACCAGTTGGAGGAGTTGAAGACCGAGCTCAACCAGCTCCGTGTCCAGAAGATCTCTGGCGGTGCCTCCTCGAAGACCCAGAGAATGTGCGTGTTATCCCGATCCTAGATTTTTTTTTTTTTTTATACCCCGAACACGAACCCGGTCGCATGTGCGGAATATACAAGAGGAGGAAGAACAGGCAAACAGCAAAATCGACACTATATTCAAATCGCATAACCACACAAAAATTACGACAAGAAAATACTAATGATGATTACAGCCACGACGTTCGCAAGTCGATCGCCCGCGTTCTCACCGTCATCAACCTCAACCAGCGCACCCAGCTCCGCTTGTTCTACAAGAACAAGGCGTTCCTCCCTCTCGACCTCAGACCCAAGTACACCCGTGCCCTGCGCCGCAGACTCACCAAGAACGAGGCCACCAAGAAGACGCAGAAGCAGGTCAAGAAGGAGATCCACTTCCCCCAGCGGAAGTACGCCATTAAGGTATGACCAGTCCTAGAATTCGATGGATATCGCTTGGATAATACATGTGAAGAGGCGTGGCTGATGGTTTTCGTGCAGGCTTAAATAAAAGATGGGAGCGGATCTTGGAGTTACGGGAACAAGTCGTTAGTAGAATGACGAGTTGACTTAGACCTTGCGTGGGTCGGTTTCAACAAAGTTTCTTTTTTCAGCATACAAAAAAGGACCGTTTTGATTCTGTATCGTAGGGATGCAAATCGATCTTGAATGAAGCTTTCTGAATGAGTAATGAATAGCCTCCGACTATTTTTTTCCTACGCGAAAAGACAACCCAACATTAAACCATAATCGACTAAACCAATATCTATCTATCTAAATAAATCCATGCGCCTAAACTTATTCGTCAAGACCCCTGCATCAACCCCGGCGTCCTCAATTCAGTCTGCAACCCCGGCGCCGGCGGCGAAGTAGACGACCCCAACGAACCATCAATCTGACCACCCGACCGCGCCTCTAACGCCCACATCCCCCCACAAATACACGAGCGCAACAAGCCCAGTCTCGCAATCATCTGGAACGCAGGCAAAGACCGCGGCGGGTGCGTATCGCTCGAGATCTCACAGCATCGAATGCAGCGACGGATGCGCTGTCCGGCGCCGGCCTTATTGTCGTCGTTGGTAGCCGTAGCCGTAGTCGTAGCCGTAGCCGTAGTGGCGTTAGTCCCAGACGCATGGTCCGGAACAACAACCCGCAACGGAATCTTCTTGAGAATATCAACATCCCTTGTCCGCCGATACACCTCCGTCCGCTTATCATCCCCAACCCCCAACCACGTATAATCCCCCAAGTAAACCGCCAACCGATCAACCTCGCCCCTAACCGCAGGAACCACAGATCTAAATATCGCCCAAACCGCATTCACAAGCACCGGCGGAATCCTCGCATTCACAAGTAACTCCTTCTCCGGCCCTGGCCGCTCTGTATCTCCGAACCCAGCGCCGTGGTACGCATGGCGCACAGCGGAGTCAACGCCTGCCAGGAACTTCTCGTAGACGTCGATGCGCACGGGGGAAGTGTCGAGGAGGTGGCAGGTTTCGGAGTAGTAGATGCGGGAGTCGCCGACGAGGTTTGTGGCGGAGGGGTTGTAGCCTGAGTGCACGCCACGCAGGCCGCGGCAGATGAAGCGGAGGAAGGTGCGGGACATGCTGGAGAGGAGGATTATGAGGGGGAGGGAGGTTGTTGTTTTTACTAGCAAATTGTCAGAATGATAGAAGTGGAAGTTAGAGGGTGGTGCTTACGCTTCTGGGTAAAGGCTTCTTGGTCGGAGAGGACGCTTTCGAATTCGTCTGCTAGGTCGAAAACTTCATTTAGGATGTATTGGGAGAAATCGAGGACCCATCTGGTGTTACCCAGGACCATCCGCAGTACGTCTGCAAATGTTAGCATACTGCATACATGCTCAATGACACTAACTTACCCGAATCATGAGGGTCTGTCTGAGTACCCTTGATATATTGGAAGAAATAAGCAAACAGAACAGCCCCATGGCGAAGATGCAAAATCGCCCACGGGACAGCAGATGTAAAAATCCGTGGCTTGTATCTGTCCCTGAAGCCCAGCGCAGCTTGTAGGCTTAGACAGCGGGGGATGTATGGGTGGTTCATGAGTTTGTCTTGATCCACGGTGAAGTTGCAGTTGATGGGTAGTGCGCGGTAGATTTCGTTGAGGAACGCAGTTTGGGCCTCTGTGTGTTGTTAAAGGGGGAAGTCCTGAGGAGGAGGATAGAACTGACCAGATGAGAGTTGACGCATGACAAGCATCAATATATCATCCGTGTTGATATCGCTTCCACAACCCCGACAAAACGCCAGCGTAAGCGCTGCAATGGCCGCAGAGAACTTGCCTGAAGATTGTTAGTCCAGATCAGTTAATCCAGGAACATCAACCTACTCTCGTCGAAAAGGCCATTTTCCGCCCCGTAAGAATGCTCCATAAGCCGTAGTTGCGTTTGACCCTCGCTGTCTAACATGACAGAACCACAAGCACTGGGAGAGAAACTGATCTGAAGGCCTGAAACCTCCGGAGGAGAATGGAATCCCGCTTGGGTTAAACATGTTACTGTCGAGTTATCATCCGTTCCGTTGAATACAGCCATGGTCTTCGGATCGCAGAAGGTTATTGAACTGTCGTCGTAGGTGATGGCTAGCACGGTGCCATGCTCTGCTTGGTCAACCGAGATCACATATTTATCGACATGGGTGTCTTCGAGCCGGCGCAGTTCCATTTTTGGCTACCATCGTGAGTAGCTGATTCCGTAAAGCGAGTTATGTACTAGAGACGCACCTTAATTTGAGCATTATGGTTCTTCTTCGACACCACCTCGTCAAACTTGGGGTGAAGGTTCTGTGAAGCTGCTTCTAACTGCCATCGGACGATTATACTAGCAGAGCCATTTTGCCCTGTATGGTCAGGCGTAGCGGGGAGAGGGTTCGAATAGACAGCAAGAATCCAAGGATTTGCCGTGGAGCCTGCCGGGTTATCGACGGCACCAGGAATGATTTCCAAGTGAGTCAGGGCATAAATGGAGTTGGTTGATGATGGTGCTTCTTCATTTTCGCCTGTGCTGCGATATGCGTTCCAGAAGCCACTAGGTGTCTCGACGTTACCGTGTGCAAAACGAAAACTCGGCACGGGAAAGAGATTCGACTGTTTAGGTAGATTTGGGTCCCATTGAGGAGGATTCCAGGAGACGTGAACGCGATAGACACAAATCTTTTGGCATACTGAATGAGTAACGACAATGATACCGGCTTCGCGTTGTTAGTCAGATTCCGTATCAAGGGGCGAGGATCGGCTACCTTGGGTTGCTACCAGAGAAGCATGAGTCAGGAGCCTGTCAGAATAGCTGGTGTTCTTTAACTCTGCAGATATCTCCGCCCATCGACTATCCGGGTTCTGGTACAGCAGCTTGATCAGGCCGGATCTGGTCACGCACACCAAGGCTGCTTTATTTGCCGGATGAAAAGGACCAATTGGGCGACGTCGAAAGGGAGAATAGGCCCAACGACCATTTACTTTGGCCGCTTGGAGGAATGCGTGGACCTAAAATGTTCAATACATGATCATCGAAATGAGGGAAGTAACATACCGAACGCTGAGTGCTCAACCACATCATCCCAACGACCTGATTGATCTCATCATCAGGGTCGAAAGCTGCCTGGCGCTGACCAGCAATGCTATTGAGAGCAATAGAGATAGAATAGATCGATACGCGGCCCGACGAGTCCACGACGGCCAATTCTGAGCCGCTCTCGTTCCAGCAGATATGGACCAGTGGATGGCTGCCATGGGCCTCAGTGACCGGAAACAAAGGCGTATCCTCACTAAGACACCATCTGCCATCAGAGGGTTGACAATGAAGATAGCGGACATTGACCGTTAAGCCGTCTCGGGAGATGTACGCGATGCACCCGAGCCGTGACCAAGAAATTTTTCTATGCAATGTCAGTTATCGTACACAGATCTATACATATACGACAATCACATACTGGCAACATCCTAATAAGCGCATTTCATCTAGCCGTTGAGCTAGGCCTTTAGGAGCCGTCGGGGACAAACCCAGCTCGAGAGAGCCGGACTCACCAAACAAATCGTCCACGTTGATGCCGTCGTCCATCATCAAGGGCATACTGGGGGGGGGGGGAGACAGAATAAAGACGAGATTAATGCACCATTATTTTCTGGGCAACTGCGATATGGAACTGACGAACAACCAACGTATACAATTAAAACCGGGGCGTAACAGCAAAGAAGGGGTATCTCAAGTCAAATAAGCCTAGCGAAAAGAAGCAATCGAAGTAAAAAGAGAAATATCCAGATATCACATAACCATCTCTATCCAGAACAGTATCTCTGCTCGTTTTGATCGCCTTGACTCGCATAAGAGCGGCTGACTCAGCGGTCAGGTGAGATCATGTGCGGTCGGTAGTCGTGCCAACGGGGATGGCCAATAGTAATTAAGATTGTTACCCCACCGAGTTAGCTCCCGTCAGGTCCGAAATCTTGATTGGTTGTATACACATCCGCAAGATGAGGTAAGCATCAATGCAAAATCAAAACACGATCAAAACAATTCAACGTTGATCGATGGGTTACAATATAAGGATAAGAATATCAGATAGTTAGATTATGATCATTGCTACTGCCCTAAAATACAGGCAGGCATAGACTGTAACTAACTATAAATACATGTACAAGTGCTGTTCAATTGAGCTAGCATCCATACCGCATAGAGTACTCCGTAGAGTGGCAGTAGCATCACTACTCAGTAACCCGCAAGAATGATGTCCATTTAAGAACATCAGCAAGAGAACTCCCTTTCAATTAACCTGTCAATCGCATTCCTAGCGTCGTCTTTGCTATATTTGCTGTTCGTGCGGTCAAAACAAACACATTTTCTTTTTTCTTTTTTTTTCTTTTTTCTACTCCTCCATAGCGTAGTACTCCATACTACTACTGTGGGCGGACCCAAGCGAGCAGATCCAAGTCTCCTCTTGTCATCTGTTGGAGCGCGATTAAATTCTCTTGGAGGCTGCCCTTCTCTTTTTCAACCTCCTCTTCAGCCCTGTCCTGGCCGATATTGGCAGTTTAGTATTCATTCACTGCGAGGCATTTTCTTTTTCTATGTTCTTGGATATTCTTTTTTTGCCTTTATACCCCTCTCCTTCCCCATGATTGAATTTTTGAAGCGGTTTCCCTGATTGTGGTGCTTTTCTCTGACCTAACCTCACCCCTACTCCCACTACGACAACGACAACGACCACTACCACTACCACTACCACTACCACCCTACCTCTACCACTACGACAACGACGTGTATTCCACTATATCGCCATGGATGATGATTTCTCAGACGCCTCAGAGCTAAGCTCTCCTCCATCATCTCCCATCGCTCCTCCTGGCTTCTTCCCTTCGCCGCCGCCATCACAGGAGGACAAACGCCAAGAAGGGCCGCCCGCCAGCAAGCGACGCCGAGTCGCGACCCCCAAAGTGCCCAAGGAGCGCGTTTCTCGCGAGCTCGACCTCACGCCAGATTCGCTTCTTTCGCAGCAAGAACAGCAATCGCAAGTTGATCTACTTGTCAAGACTCTTCGGAAACACCGCAAAGTTGTCGTCATTGCTGGTGCGGGCATCTCAACATCTGCGGGTAGTACGTGTCTTACCTCACCTTTACAACCATTCTCCACGAAACTAACATCTGACGACTTACCAGTTCCGGATTTTCGTTCCACTGATGGCTTGTTCAAATCGCTACAGAAGAAACATAATCTCAAGGCGTCTGGGAAACTCCTTTTCGACGCCTCCGTCTACCAGGATGATACTCTGACCGCGTCGTTTCAGGACATGGTGCGGTCGCTGTCGGAAGAAGCTGAGAAAACCAGCCCCACGGCCTTTCACCACATGCTGGCCTCTCTTGGGCAGGAAAACCGTCTTACACGGTTGTATACGCAGAATATTGATGGCATTGAGACGGCTATGCCCCCACTGGCGACCCAGGTCCCCCTCAATGTCAAGGCCCCATGGCCGCGCACAATCCAGCTTCACGGCAGTCTGGATAAGATGGTCTGTCAGAAATGTCGTCACCTGGGAACCTTTGATCGCGACATGTTCGCCCGCCCCGACGCCCCTGAATGTCCCGAGTGCTCGCGCACCAACCAATTCCGTCTCGAAACCGGCCAGCGCAGTCATGGTGTGGGCAAGATGCGACCCCGCATTGTCCTCTACAACGAACACAATCCCGACGAGGAAGCCATCACATCAGTCATGAACGCGGATATTCGCTCGCGTCCGGACGCGTTAATCGTCGTTGGCACCAGCATGAAGATTCCCGGAGTGCGTCGCCTGGTGAAGAGCCTCTGTCATGTGATTAAAGGTCGCAAAAACGGAGTCACCATGTGGATCAACAACGAGCCGCCAACGGGCAAGGAATTTGAAGACTCGTTTGACCTGATGGTCAAAGGGGACTGCGAAGAAGTCGCCAGGTTAGCCAACCTGAGACGCTGGGACGACCATACGGCAGAATTCGTCGAAGAGTCCGAGATGGAGCAAGCCAAGGGCAAGTTGTCTGTTGTCATTGAGACGCCCAAGAAGAAGCAGAAGACCATCACGGCCTTCCCCACGCCGTCATCCAGCCACGACGAGGATGTGGAGCTGCCGCATAAAGCATCTGCCAAGGGGGGTCGTCCCACCCCAGCCAGTCGCGGACGCAACCTCAAGGATGTCCTTGGTGCCGCTAAGACGAATCCTCCGAAGAAACAGCCCGCAGCCAAGAAGCCTGCTGCTAAGCCCAAGGCTCCCAAGAAGGGAACCAAGGCACAGCCCACGAACAGCAAGATTACCAAATTCAGCGCAGTCACCAAGGGCACAGCAGCAGGTACTGACAAGCTCTCCAAAGAGGAAGCATCCAAGGCTATGCTTCCACTTCCAGCCGGAGCAGCCCGCACAAACGGCCTTATGTCTCAGCAGGCTGGTGATAAGTTGGATACGATCCATTCGCCTTCGATTCCGAAAGGATTCGACAATTTGTTGAACCGGCCCGTGTGACTATTTGCAGGAGTCCCCATCGTTCTGTCTTCTTCTCTATTATTCTGGTGGCAATGGATTTAAGATACCAGTGTTACATGCTCCATGGCGTTTTGGTCATTTTCATTTTCATTTTCATTTCTTTTCTTTTCTTTTTTTTTTTTTTTTTTTTTTTTTGGACGTCCTACTTGGTTATCAGGACTGCACTTTGTATATGAACGATTCATTTTGTCTCAATTCTCCTGGTTATTCGTTTGCTGGAGATGATGATGTTTGCATAGTCGCTGCGGTCTGGTATGGCGTTTCTGGATATTATGGCGTTGGTTGCTTCATTCTTCTCGGATTTCATTTAATACTTATGTATTCCTATATTTTTCTGACGGGGGTCATGTTTGATGCAGCGGCTGAGTATAATTTTATAGTTGGATGTATAATGTACATTGATTGCATACCGATACTCTGTATTATCTGTATTATCTGTATTATCCAATATAATTACCATGAATGTACTAGGGTATCTAATCCATTCTCATATCCCCACGCAACTGCGAGTCCGGCCCTTCATCATCCGAGTCACTATCAGCACCAGCATCCGGGTCCATGGTGCGCTGCGCGCGGGAGTCCCGATCCAGATCCTCGACCAGGTTGATATCGTCTTCTTGTGCCTCCTCCGCTTCCTCCTCTTCCTCTTCATCGTCCTCGTCCTCTTCTGCCTCCTCTTCCTCGATATCCTCCTCCTCCTCTTCAGGTTCAGGCTCATCTTCATCACCCTCACCCTCACCCTCACCCTCACCTTCAACATCACCCATCGCCTGTCCGGGTTCACCCTCACCAACCCTCTTCACCCTCTTCGCACCACGAACACCACTCTCCTCCTCATTCACTTTCTCCTCGCCCTTCTGTTCTGCAGCACCACCACCAGGCTCGGCCTTCTTCCTCTTCCCCGCCTTAACCTCCGTATAAACATCCACCTCCTTCTCCAATCTCTCCCTGAACCCCCCAAACTCCAACTCCTCAATCGCACTGAATACATCCGTCGGCGCGACGGTCCGTTTCAGGGTTGCTTCGTTTGCACTATCGCCTCGCCATTAGTACACATACAAACATATTTTATATTTCCCCAGTTCCGGGTTTCGAAAAGTTTCCTGGTGACATGGGAGAGAGGGAAGGGAGGAGGGCGCACTGAGAAGATAAATACGAGACAAACACCGTCGCGGCCTTTTGCATGGCTAGGAGGGCGTCTTTTTGGATTGTGGTGTTTGGGGGCAGGACGGATTTTGCGAGGCGCGCGGTTAGGCTGCGGGGGAGGAGGTAGTCCTTTTATTATTATTATTATTATCTGTTAGCAGATTGCTCTTTTTGTCCCTTCCATTGGAGTTCTTTTGTTCTGGACATAGTGTGCAGTGTTTCGGGGAGGGAGGGGATACCTCAACATTAACACCATTCTCAGCCCGAGATTTTAATTGCTGCTCTGTTACTTGCTGGTGTTGCGGTTGGGATTGCGGTTGCGATTGTGAGGGCTTTGCTTGAGGCGAGGACGAGGGCTGCGAGGAGGGCATTAAGTTGTTGTCTTCTTGTGAGGCAGAGGCAGGTGTGCTGGTGGATTTTCGGGCCATCGTAGCGGTCTGTCTTTATATGGTGGTCTCGAGTGTAGATGGGTTTTTCGAGGGCGTGGTGTGATTCCAAAATAGTCGGGTGTTGAAAATTTTCAATCTGGTTTATATAGGTATTATAGGTGCAGATATAGACGTGTATGTGGAAGATAAAGAGGTGAAGAGATCTCCGCGAGTGACGCGATTTGCCCGCGGGAGCGCGTTCTGAGTGGTTGAACGTACCATACATTTTTCATATTGAGAAAGGATTATTACTTGTACAGAGTAGACAACTAACAATTTTATATTTGCATGACTATCATTGACTACCTTTTTATACCAGAAACGCCTTGGTATCCATAAATAAAATATGATAGGAAAATAAAAGAAAACACATCTACTCGGCCATCTCCTCATCACCCTCGCCATTCCCCCATAATCCCTCGATCTTGAATTCCTTAGCCCACTCCGTGACAACCTGCTTCGTGTCCACACCCTCGCCGGCAGCGGGGGCTGTTGTAGTTCCGTCAGCCGTTGTGGTCGCAACAGGCAAGACCGGGGCGTTGGCCCAGCCCTGGATACGGCCATCGCGCCAGTCGTTGATGACGGTCATTGCTGCGCTTTCGACGTTGGGAACACCACCTTTGCCCAGACGGCCGCGCTTGCGGGCGACGTGGATCAGGAAGTCGGTGGTTTGGTCCTGGCCAGGGAGGATTGCGGGAATCTGGTAAACCTCGACCAGCTTGTTCATGAGCTGCTCAGACTTGGATAGGCGGCGGAGCAGGAGGTTGACGGCGGGGATGGGGTCCTCGATCTGCTTGGGCGGAATGGCGTTGAGAAGCACGAGGCGGGCGTGATCGTCTACCTTCTTCTTGTTGGACTTCTTGTCGGAGTTGTTGGTGTTGGGGAAGACGATACCGGGGGAGTCGATGAGCTTGAGCTTGCCGTCGAGCTTGACTTCGCGCAGGTTGGTGGTCACGCCGGCTTCAGCGCCTGTTGGGCAGGCGTTGCTGGAGCCCTTGTTCAGACGGGACATGAGGGCGTTGATCACGGAGGACTTGCCGACGTTGGGGTAGCCGATGATACCGACCGATACCGACCGCTTCATTTGCTTGTTGTGTGCGTACGACTTGAGCGCGTGAAAGAGCGTCTCCGAGGTTCCCTTGACGGACAATTGCTTGTGGTCGAAGCTGTGTGCGTTGGCGGTGCCGTTGGAGGCCTTGAGCGGCAGGGTAGGGAAGTACCGGCGCAGGTGCACCAGCCAGCCCTTCAGCACCGCTGGGGGGATGAGGTCGATCTTGTTGAGGATGAGAATCAATCGCTTCGAGCCTCCTTGGGCGGCCATGATTTCGCGCTCGACTTCCTTCGACCGGGTGCCTTCGGGGTCACGGGCGTCCAGCACGTAGAGGACGACATCCGCTGCGTCAACGACCTGCTTGAACACCTTGTCGAATGCGCGTCTCGAGCTTTCCTTGGACGAACTCGAATCCACGGGTGTCACTGACGAAGCGCCAAGCGAGATTCCACCACTCTCGTCATCCTCATCCATACCATCCTCGTCGTCATCATCCTCGTCCATCTCCTCATCATCCTCATCCTCATCGTCGTGCTGATCCTCGTACTCCGCCGCTCTAGCCCGCGCGGAAGCAAGCAGCGCAGCCATAGGGTTCGACGAGTCACCAACATCCGCATCCATATCATCCTCCTCGTCGTCCATAAGCTCCTCATCATCGATCATGGTCTCGCCCTCGGCTCCGGTTTGCGCCTTCTGCTGCTGTTTCTCTGCACGACGACGCTCACGGGCCTCATCGCGAATCCGGTTCTGTTCTTCCTCCTTCAAACGCTTCTTTTCCTCAATTTCATGGAGCATTTGGTCTTTGAGCGGGAAGAGGTTGGGGATGCCGGGGTCCTTCTTGACTTTCGAGCGCCATTCGGGGTTCTATCGGGATATGTAAGAATTCGAATCGACGCATGTGTGTATAAAACGTCGACATACCTTCTTCGCAAGCTTTCTTTCCTTGCGACCCTTAGATGCAGAAGCCTTTGCGATCTTGTGGCGTAACCGGGTGGGCGTCCGCTTAGAAGTTTTTCCTGCGGCAGTTAGCGATTGCAGCGAGAAATTAAAAGGTGTGAGTAAAACATACCTATATTAAAACCCATCTTGCCAATGTAATAAACAAAAGAATAAGATAAGAGGTTGATACCAAATGAGGAAAACACCTGAAGATGTCGAGAAATTTTGCAAAAATCCGGACGACGCTAAGATAACCGGGAAAACATTCGCCGATCTCCGATATCTCCCTGCCTGCCCTAAACATGCATCCGATTTTATCACTCTCGGCCTTCACGCCTGGGAATGAAAAGTTCAATAAGACTTCACATGCGAGAAGTGTGGCATGATTTCTGATTAGCCACAAAGCACAATTAGAACTTAAAGCCATTTCATCCATCAGCTTGTTGAAGTCGAGCAATCCATTAGACTCCGGTGAGAGCATCAACAATGACATTCACGATTGACGACTTTATACTACCGTCCTAGTCAATGGGCTTCTCGAGAAACGAGGTATGCCAGCGCGACAACCAAACTAGTGGAAGGGCGCTATACATACTGCATTTGGAGAGAGGAAGTACGATGTGCATCTTGATTTCACTACCGAGGGTATAGCTTGTTGTGGTTTGGAATATAGAATATATTCACTTATAAAGTGTCTTAGTCCTTCTTTTATTACCATGGAAGTTCCATTTTGACCTTTTCTCTGCCTGGCCAGAAATGCTTCCTTTTGCGCTCGATTTCCTCCAAATCATCCTCACTCAAAATACTTTCCCATCGGACATACAGATCTGGTTCCCCCCTGGGGCTCTGGGGCATCCGAGGACCATCTGACTCTTGATACAGAAGTCCGAGCCCTTCCATCCGCTTATAATCCCAAATTGCAAAACCAAAACGACGATAGACACGAAACTCCACATACCGGGCGGGTGATGTGTACCATCCAGAAAGATCACCAAGCACAAAGCGATATCCTGGAGCACCGATGTCAAACTCCATATCATTATCAAGATCGGGTATAGCAGGATGGGGGAAGTCGTATTGACAACGCCATTGCTCACTGCGCGCGAGGGATCTGGCAGCTCGGTATTTTTCCATCGGGGAGGATAGAGCAGGAAAGAGACAGCTACAATCAGCCATGGTCTTAATTTGCTCCCGGGTTTTATTTGGCAGAGAGTGCTTCCAGATTTCATCAAAATGTAAGTCTTGCAACTGATGAAACTCATTGGGGGCCCAGTCCCAGCGAGAATTTGGCTCACTAACGGCACTGTGTAGCTCCCATATCAGGAAAAGTTGCCAAAGAGCACGAATGGCTCGTTGCTCCTCAATTGTGGACGGCGGCCCAACATCAATCTGCTGGCATTGTTCTCGAGGTGGCTTTGGGACAGGGAAGTATTCTGAGGTCCACAATGATGGCGTACGATGTGGATTGCGAATATATCTCCTTGGGTTCTGCATACGTAACAACTCCAGAGACATGCAGCGATTGATCATCTCATGCATACCGGCATGGGCTAGATATCGGATGGTTGCTGCCGCGGCCAGGATATCGCATACTATGGGCGTAGGCAGCTCGCGAGGTAAACGATCGTAATCGTTGTCGTTTTTGATGTATTATTCAATGAAAGCATTGAGACCTGACATGGACCGGATATTCCATCGTAGAAACGCAAATTTTCGAATCAAGACCTGGGTTTGTTGTGGCACGCTGATACTCATTATTGCCTCGATAATTCGTGTTGCGGTGCCATGTTCATGGAGTAAAGAGAAAATGGTGGGCGATTGAGAACAGAGTCTATGAAGAGATGCAAGGTCCTCCAAGCCCACAAGTATCATCCCCAGGACCGGCCCTGGTAGAACTGCAAAAGGGTCTCGCCTGGTCATGACTCTTTCTTGACAAGGCTTGTCGAGGAGAGATGACAGCGGAATTGGAACCCCATATGAATGGAATGTTATTACTTTATCTAACTAGTAGGAATAGTCAGGAAGTGAGAATCGGCAATTGCCGCTCGGCAAATCTGAGGCGACGTGCCTGAAAGCTACGTTGATAAAAAAAAAAAAAAAAAAAAAAATAGGACTCTAATTTAGAGATCTTCCCCTTCCATATAGCTGAAGTATTTCCTTGCAACAGATGTCAAGTTTACAGCAAGACTGAATATATAGTCTAACAAATCAAGTAGTAAAGAACTATACCAGCCCCTTCCGGACATCCCACAGGAGGACCCTTGATAAGTACGGATCCTTTTCCAAGGAACTTTCACTAGGACGCCTCAAAGCGGGGCTTAGAATTGCATTTTGCTTAGTCTACAGGTACATTAGATCCTAGCAGCACATGACCTCCACGGAACTAGGCCGAGCAGAGGCAGTTTTAGTCACTCCATTATCAGGTCACATCAGCGAATTAAACGAACACATTGAGCGTAAATTATTGCATTGCGACTGATTGTCCTCAGAAGAACAGTTCATGCTCGGAAGGTCTACATAAACAGCTGATCAGCAAAGTGATCAACCTGCAAATCGCCGTTGGATACCCTGATCTCTGATCTCGGAGTCTACCGGATCTATCGAGATCCCCCCCCCCCAGATATTTGACTCCACGAGCCCATTACAATGCTTGACCACACTGGGAGACATAGCCGAGCTAGCACCTTCGTCCTTTGTTGCTCGACTTGTACGTGAGGATGAAGCTCTTGCGGAGGCGCCATGTATGCCCATTTTGTGTAGCTTCAAATTTGCTGTAGTAAGAAAAATGTGCCTTATGTTTGAGTACCCAAGTCCTCAGCTCTATCATATCAATTACTAGGCAGTCTTGCTCAACATCATACCAAGCTTACTAGTACAATGTAAGCATTTTTGTGCCGCAACACCGTATGCTTTCCCATACGATCAGGAAGCGAACTATCGATCAAACAGTCGATATGCCTCAAATTCCAATCTCGGAGTCAACCGGCTATAGATCCTGTATCCGCTATCCGCAGCATCAAGCGCTAATCCACTCAACACTCACTGGGTACTTGGGGCTGGGCCACTGACCGTCGGCTACAGAGCAATTGACTAGGGTCGGGAAATACGGCTTAACGGGATACTTGCCTCCGAAATACCAGGCAGCCTCACTTATCTCTCTGCTTCTTTTAGGCTCCTATTTCTTTCTTCTGCTTGGTCCATTTCAAGAGACTGATTCGCTTGAGCTTGCTTCTGGTCCTCGCGACACATTCGTTCTCTACAGGACCGTAGTCATTGCATCAAAATGCGCGTCTCTACCTTGGCTGGAATATCTCTGTTGTCAGGGTATGCTGTCGCCAGTGTCCCAACCATTGAAACCAAAGCAAGTACTCTCTACCTTGCTTGAGAGACCCATCTACTAACTGTGTCATCCTCCAGAGCTCCAAGTTCTTCTACTCCAACAATGGCACTGAATTGTGAGTCTTGCCAAGTTCTCCAAAAAGACAATTACTGACTGTGGTCAATTGCATCCATGGAATAGCCTACCAAGGTAATATTCTCTGCTCGCTCTCCGCGCCATAAATACTGACCAACACTAGAGGACTACAACGGCGGAGGAGCCGGGGGCACAGGCCAAACAAGTGACACCAGCTACACAGACCCTCTCTCCAATGTCTCCAATTGCGAGCGCGACATCCCCTATCTAACAGAGCTGCGGACAAATGTCATCCGGACGTACACCGTCGATCTATCAGCGAACCACGATGCATGTATGCGGAAGCTAGCCGATGCAGGCATCTATGTCATAACCGATCTGTCGTCCCCCGCTGTTTCGATCGAAGCCAACTCGCCGGACTGGACGGTCGCGCAGTACGAGCGGTATACTGCTATAGTCGACGCGTTCCAGAAGTATGATAATGTCATTGGTTTCTTCGTTGGCAATGAGGTTGCCAATCAGGTGAACCAGACCAATACTGCTGTGTTTGTAAGGGCTGCGGCGAGGGATATGAAATCGTATATCAAGCAGAAAGGGTACAGAGAGTTTTTGGGTATTGGGTATGCAACCACTGACCAGGAAGATATTCACATGCCGCTGTCCGATTATCTGAACTGCGGGGACCAGTCAACCGCACTTGATTTTTTCGGCTTCAACATCTACGAGTGGTGCGGCGACCAGACGTACCAAACATCTGGCTATGAGGACCGCACCGACGAGTACCACAACTACTCCATCCCAGTCTTCTTCTCCGAGTACGGCTGCAACACCGTGAAGCCCCGCAAATTCAGCGACGTCCCCGTGCTATTCGACCCTCAGATGAATGACGTTTGGAGCGGCGGCATCGTCTACATGTACTTCGAAACCGATAACGACTACGGCCTCGTCTCCGTTGACAGCAACTCTGTCACCCCCGAGGTTGACTTCAGCTACTACTCCAAGGAGATCCAGAGTGCCACTCCCATTGGAGTCAACAGCGTCAGCTACACCCCAACCAGCACCCCGCGCGCATGTCCCACCGTTGACGACACCTGGCTCGCACAGGCAAGCCCCTTGCCCCCTACCCCCAACTCAAAGCTTTGCTCCTGTATGGTATCCAGTCTATCCTGCGTTGTCAACGACAGAATAGACGCTGAGTAGTACGGCGAACTCTTCGGGGAAGTCTGCGGATACGGCGTGCACATCTGTGACGGCATTTCTCACAACGCAACCACGGGAGAGTATGGCGCCTACAGCATCTGCGCCAGCAAGGACCAGCTATCTCAGGCGTTCAAGCGCTACTACGAGGGCCAGAAGAAGAGAAAGTCGGCGTGCGATTTCAACGGAGCAGCGAGATTTCAATCGCCTAAAGGCCAGTCGGGTGACTGTAAGTCGCTTATCAGTCAGGCTGGTGGATTGGTTGGGACTGGCACGGTCACTTCTAGCCCTACTGGAGGTGGTACTGCTGCCGCGTCCTCCACGTCTGAGGGTGCTGCTGCTGGCGGAATTAGGGCTGTTGCGGTCCGTGGGAATAGATGGTTTGGTGTGGTGTCTCTCGTTGTGGCTGTTGTGGTTGGCTCCTTAATGGTGGTGTTTTAGTAGTCGAAGTTCCTTTGGAATAAGTCTAAACTCGCTCGGCAGCGGAGATAAGGCGCAATGCATTTGTCTATAATAGGCCTTGGTCAATAGTTTTCTTACTCGGAGTTCTTCCTCTTCACCTCCGAGATATCGTTGTTATCATTGTAGATACCTGTAGACTGTAGCTGACAGTAAACTGGACAAAAGAAAATGACACAAGACGTTGATATCGACGAAACAGGCAACGCTAAGATAAACGGGAAAACTTTGGCCGATCTCCGATATCTCCCCGCCATCCGTTCTACAGATTTGGTGATCGATTGTACGGCTTTTTTTTTTTTTTTTTTTTTTTTCTTTCTGTTTGTTGCATAGAGATTCTCTTGTCTTGACTTATTAGATACCCTATACCGCTAGATTTGATCTTTATCGCATACCACCACCATGACCGAAGGATCCTTCTCAGCCCCTCCGCAAATTCACACCTTCGACGGAGTGCTCTCCGACTTCGACGGCACAATCGTTGACTCAACAGATGGTGCGCTATTCTTTTACATATGTTACACTCATAGCTAACCTGCGCTAGCAATCGTCAAGCACTGGCACAAGTTCGTCCCGCAGATCACCGCAGAATAAGAGTCATGTGTTTATACGGATTTCTTACAGAATCGGAAATGAACTGGGCGTAGACCCAAAAGCCATCCTGGCTACGTCCCACGGACGAAGGAGTATCGATACATTGGCACTGTATGATAAGAGCAAGGCCAATTGGGAGTGTACGTTACCTGTCTGATTAACATACCGCAAGAGAGGGAGGGAGCAAGCAGATACTGATAGCCTGTTTGAAGACGTCAGCTACGTCGAAGGCCGCATCCCCCAAGAATACGGCTCCGACGCCATCGAAATCCCCGGTGCCCGCGCTCTCCTCTCCGCCCTCGAATCCTCCCGCGCAAACTGGGGCGTCGTAACCTCCGGCACCCGCGCGCTGGTCGACGGCTGGCTTGGTGTTCTTGGCCTCGCACACCCGCGCGTCCTTGTCGTCGCAGAGGACGTTGGATTGGGAAAGCCCGACCCCCGCTGCTACCTACTTGGTCGTGAGAAGCTGGGCCTTGAGAACCCGGGATCGGACTCGATTGTGGTGCTGGAAGATGCGCCGTCGGGGATTAAGGCTGGGAAGGCGGCGGGGTTTAAGGTGCTTGCGCTTGCGTCGACGCATACGCTGGGTCAGTTGCGGGATGCTGGGGCGGATTGGATTGTGAAGGATTTGGAGAGTGTTGAGGTTAAGGGTGTTGAGGGGGGAAGGGTGACGTTGGAGATTCGGGATGCGCTTCAATAGGCATTCGATTCAGAGTACGGAGTACGGAAGACATGAGCGGTAAGTAAGGCGGCTTCCACGATCCATGGAACAGAAGGTGAAGCTCTGGATCCTTCGTTCTGTAGATAGGGTCAAACGATGTGACATGTACATATGCATGTATCTACCTTGCATGATATACAAGTACCTAAGGCCACCCTTGGAAAAGGCGATCAACGCCCAACAAATTACGATCGAATCGAGTCAGGACCATGCCCTGTGTCCTCGTACCGTTATTTACCGACCGATAAAGCCAACATCTCATGCTGGGGATAGATATAGAACTCTACCATACCATCTGTACAACGCATGGGATCCCATATGGCAAACGGGTTGTTGCCGTTGCTGCTGTCAGTGCACTGCACTATCGACGGGAAGACGAGCATCTTTTGCTTCGAATCAAGGCAGCCGGGGATTTTATCCAGATTTCAAGTTCCAATTATCAGCATGTAAAGCAATGCGGCGGTGAGCCTTGCTGGCTACGCTACGCTGTAGCTGTAGGTATACGAGTAGTTTACTTCAATTGAGAAGACTACGGTGGTACGGCCCCCATCCGGTTGTTCAGGGAACATAAACACTATCAGCGGACTCGAGACGATACAGAGGGGGTAACTGGCCACTCTCCGAAAGGGAGTAGTATTGCCACCTTGACTTCACCAAAAAGCCTATCTTCCCCGCCGATATCGACCAAGGTTTCCTGCAGGACAGGACAGATGTGACTGCTACTGCTACTACTACCTCACCTGCAGAGCCGAGGTGCCTCGCCTTGAAACGGTTAGGCGAGTGGGTGGGCATGAGCAGGTGCGGTGCAGGTGCCTGTATCGTACGGTATGATGTATCTGGCAAGTACAAGTACGCTCGTATGTACGAACCTGTAAGCCAACCATAAGACCGCGATCCGTGCACACGAGTAGCTGTAGAGGACTCGATTCCACCTGATTTGGTTTGGTTGGGGATGGCACCACCACAATCCACCACAATCCACATAATGCATACGAGTCAGAACGTAGTACTCTGCAGCGGCTAGAAAGAAGCCTCAGGACAGTGGTTAAGCACTCGACAAGACCAATTGGTAACAATTGCGCATCGGGTCTTTCAGCCGGGCGGTCTTGTCACAGACTCACTGCACTGCTGCATCGCTGCATCTGGGCTTGAAGGATGTAAGGGATGGCGGATATGCACGGTAGTAAGTACCGTGCATGGTTTTTTTTTTTTTTTTTTTTTTTTTTTTTTCTACTCCTTTATTTTTTTCTTCTTATCTTCCTCGATCAGTCATTTTATTCCTTTCTTTTGTTTTTTTTTTTTTTTTTTTTTTTTTTTTTGTCAGATTTGTCTCGGGGTACGGTACAGAGTACAGCAAGAGAAGAACACTCAGCTGTCACGCAGCGACAATCCTACCGAAAGTCAGAAGTCAGGTCAGGCAGCAGAAATGTGACCAGCGCAAACGTACAGATGTTCATCACGCACACACACACCGTCATTCTATTCTCGTCCAAGTACATGGTGTCCGTTGTCTGTTGGAGGGTTGCATCTTGCAGCCGCCATGACAAATTCCCTGCATGAGAGGGTACTGTGGCTGTGGCTGAAGCGGAGACTGCGGCTGAGATGTAGTTGCACCGCCACCGTCTTTCCCTGTTCGGTAAATAGTACACAGGCATCAATTTCAGCCCCTGAATGAATCCATAGAACTGTAAAACTCTGAACTCCAAAACCCAAGAGGATGGAATGGCACATCGTACAGTTCCGGTAAACCTTATGCCCGGCGACAAGTTGCTAGTGCATGGGGCATACAATTCAAATCAGATGCCGCCGTCTAGTATGGAGTACTGTCTCATCACTTTACTTCTGTACTCCGCAGCATCACCGTGAGGGAATTAGCTGATCTTCGGGGAATTTCTCTTACTCAAGCTCCAATAATACTGTCCTTGTTCTTGCCCTTTCATTTTTCATCAGGACAGCAACGGCCCAGCGTCTGGTTCCGGTTCAATAGTTTCTAGGAACGGGAAGCGATCCGTGCGGATTCACTGCGGATCCTCCTGAAGCGTGAATCTCCTATCAGTGTATATCAGTGTAAAAAGCATCTCAAACTATGATGTTGACAAGGTACCGGCGCTGTGTACTGGCATCAGAACTATCTCGAAGGAGTAATGCTCTGCCCCATCAAGCTGCCGAGATACATAGACGATCATTGATGTGAGGGAAATGTCAAATTCAGGCCCCATTTGGTTACGCGAACCCACACTAGACAGGGTACACACGTGAGCGGATCCAGTGTACATCATTCAACTTCAGCCAGCGGTTCTCCAAAAAGTAATCAAAAAGTTCTGCCTGTCAGAGAGTCCTACATACCCCTAACCCCACCACACCAAGTTCGGCTCTCCCTCGGCTTGAGAGAAAAAAAAAAAAAAAAAAAAAAAAAAAAAAAGTTCTCCATTCTCCAATTCATCTCCCATCACGTCAATGGCCAAACAGAAGCCGATTGATTGTCACAATCACTATCACCGGCGTCATCGGCGTAATGATTACTATGGAGAACCACTCTCTAGTCCCTATCTTGGATCTACAGAGCATTCGGAGCAACCGGAGTCAATGCTAGCTGGGTAGTAGTACTATCTGGATTATTATTTCCCGCAAAACCCGGACCACTACACTACTGCTTGGACCAGGATGAGGTTCAGGTCAGGAACAAGGCCGCTATCGGACTTTGAATAATGCTGGGGAGCGTTTGATACTTGTCAAAAGATAGGCCTCGGGATGTTCAAATTAAGAAGGAGCCTGTCAGTTTTAGTCCCTGCAGTTTCATCATTCAGACAAAGACCAAGAAAGAAAGAAAAAAAACCCTATCCTGTAACGCGCCTGAGCGCTACTCGTCCGATAGCTAGTATCAAAGAAAAAGAACCCCTCACTTGAAATCGCAGCGATGAATGGCTGGATCGCTGCAGTCAGCGATTCTTGGAAATCAATCAACCTCGTGACCGGGGGATCGTCCGGGAGTGGGTTGTCTGTCCCTCTGGCGGGCGACCCGGCAACCTGGGAGCAATTACAGGAGTGTACTCTGTACTCTGTACTCTGTACCAATACAGTCACCCAGATCCCGGGATCGACGGGATCTGTTGACTATTGATGTTAGCGGGTCTTGGCTGACTGCTGCCACGCTTTCGCTTTTTCTTTTTGTTTTCTGTTTTGTCACTTGCCCTTTTTTATTATTCACAGGTCTGCGAGCAATGCTGCCAACCCAGACAGATGGAGATCTGTGCTTGGGGAGTAGAAGCGGCAGGGAAGGCGGAAATAGCAATCCGAATCTCGCTTACACATAGTTCAGTGCCGGGGCCTCGGATAGTTCATCGGAAGGGAGGTCCCCGGTAGGATTTAGTACAGTACTGTACTGAAATCAATACACGGTGAATACTAGCGTACAATACCGCGAACCGCGCATCTTGACGGCATCTGAAGAAACGAAGAACACAGGAAGAAGGGAGAAATCGGGGCAGTCGGAAAAGAAAAGGGAAGAAAAAAAAAAAAAAAACAGCGGAATGGGACCTTGGAATACGGTCCGCTGAGACTAAACCATTTTAGGAATATGTACCACCGATCCAGGATGCAGCAGGTCTTGGCAAATCAGGTTCGATGGAGCCCGATTCCCGTGACTTGTCCAATACTTGTACTCCGTATGTACTCCGGAGTAAAGTACAGAGTATTCATGGTACTGGTACTTGTATCTGTTCTTCATCAAGAAGGAATATACACCTACATACTACATACTATCACTTTATGTGTAGAAGATGAATCTACAATTCCATCGATCTACACATGGATCCCCCTGAACCAGATTATCACATCTCGATGAACAGTGACTCTGACAACATAACATGGCGCTAATGCAGGAACTGACGAAATAGACAACCCCCAGCTGAGTCAGTGGAAAGCATGAGAACTCATGGGTTATGATGTGATTTGAGAAGCGACTGTCAAGTGGTGTCAGTTCCCGGCACTCGATATGCTTATTTGGCCGTTAGCCTGCGATTTTTTGCCTTTCATCCCTGTCCCTGTTCCTGCCAATTGACTCGGCATGGTTGCATGTATCTCTTCGCAATCCACAGTCTGTGTTTGTATTCCGTGCTGTAATCTGATCACGGTGGGACTGCGGCGCAATGGGCTGACTAGCCCTTACTATCTCGGTACCCCCGCGGAGGACTACAGAGTACTACCCCGTACATACGGAGTACGATGTATATACTCAGCACGAGCTATCTACAGTCTTCCTTACTGCTTATCCAGCTGTCTAATACTCTGTACCTGTATCTGTACAATAACCAGCATACTGTAACGTACTGTCACCGCTGCTGCCCAACCGCCACCCCCTAGAACTGGAACCGCTCGGCCGGAAGCACGGCCAGTCCACTTTTGTGATCATTCGCCAGAACTCGGTGGCTCGACCGTCGCCGAGGCGTATTATATTGTACCACATGTGATTGTGACATTCGATTGTCTTCTGTACTTTACTTCTACTTATCTTAATCATGTATTCAATTCCTCTGGCTATTATAGTTAATTCACACATACAAGTAGTATTAAATCTAGGTAAAAATAACAAATAGAAAAGTAGAATACAGTGCCAGGTACGGTATGGCGGTACGTACAGATACAGGTATCAGGTACAGCCCGTAAGCCGCGGTGGAGCACCCCCCGTTCCGAGCAACGATCCACCAATCAGAAACACGCCCTCCACACCTCTTTCCCCTGCTGCGGCGGCCAATCACCGGACAGCGCTTCTCTCAGCCTCTTCTCTCTTTTCGCTTCTTCTTCCCCCCCCCCCAACTCCATCTCAACTCTCTTTTCCTACTGGTATTGTATTTTTCCTTTTCTTTTTTTTTTTTTTCTATCACTTTTTCTCCGACATTCATTCTGTCCTTTTTTCTTTTTTTTTTGAGTTACTGGAGGCTTCACCTCCTTTCCATTCCTTTTTGGTATCAGACACACTCCTTCGCTTTTTTTTTTCTTTTTTTTTTTTTTTTTTTTTTTTTTTTTAGCAGTGGGCTCCATCGGCCTAGTTCGTTCCTTTTCAGTCATTCTCTGACAGTGCTCTCTTAACTATTCCCTTTCCCCAGTTCGTTCTTTTTTATACATATCTATCGTCTCGATTCCTCTCGGACATACCTTCCATTCCTTCGTATCATTCTTTCTCTTTCTGTGTGTTGAACTATTACTATATACTATACCTATATCGGTACCGATATCTTCTTTGCGACGCCTCGTCATCGGCCAACCAATCTCACCGTTTCTCTAATCTCTGGATATCCTCTTCTCAATTGTTCAATGCAATCTTCTCTTCTTCAACCGCAACAATGAATTACATTCACCATCCTTATCCTTATACCGCGGTCCCAATGGACCAACCCATGGCTTTCGACCCGACAATGGCTCACCCGTCCATGGTTCACCCCATGGATGGTTACCTCTACACTCACCCGCCGCCGTTCGAAATGATGGACTTTTACCACCAGCCGATCATGGACTACGAGGAATACGCAGAGAACCTCTCCCGCCCTCGATTGACAAAGGAACAGGTGGAGACGCTGGAGGCTCAATTCCAGGCTCACCCTAAGCCAAGCAGCGGCGTCAAGCGTCAATTGGCGGCTCAGACAAACCTGAGTCTGCCTCGAGTGGCTGTCAGTATTTGCCTTTTAATTACGGTAGAGTGAACTCAAACTGATGATGTGGATATAGAATTGGTTCCAAAATCGACGGGCAAAGGCCAAGCAGCAAAAGCGACAGGAGGAATTCGAGCGCATGCAAAAAGCCAAGGCTGAAGCTGAGGAGGCTGCGCGAGCCAAGTCGGACCCCACGGATCAGAAGGAAAGCGACAGGACCCCGACACAGGAGGCGGACAAGATCTCGACCCCCAAGCAAGAACTTTCAAATGAAACTGCTTCAAATGGTGAGCGAACCAAGACATCATCGACTGCTCCCTCGTCATCCCGTTCGAAGCATCAGAAGACCAGAAGTGATTCGGCCCGTGAGGCGACCTTCGCATCTTTACAAAGGGCCTTGAATGCTGCCGTTGCAGCCCGTGATACCTACAGCGGAGATGACGGGAATAACCAACCAATTACTGACAATATGGAAGAATCCGTTTCTCCCACCTCGACTTCCGCCACGACACACAACGGCAGCAACAAGCGCAACGGCCACGGCTACAATGCACCGCTGGAATGGGAGGCTCCCAAGGATAACTCGATCGGATGGGGTTCTCAGGAGTCATACGGGTATGCTCATATATTATTTCCATCGTATATAGCGATATACTGACGAAGTATATAGATCGCAACGTCAGCCATTCCACGCCCAAGAAGAATGGATGGGTCATCGCACATCTGATGGGTCGCCATACGACGCCGCCATGCAATACCCCTTGCAACCGGAGGCTTCGCTAACAAGGCGAACATCGTCGGAAGAGCTTGCTCACCACATGGAAGGCATTGGTATTCACACCACGGCACCATCACGCGGCATGCCGCTGCTGACACACCGAGCAGACAAATCTGGCAAGGAACTCGATCTGGCTGCCCGGAGAAAGAGGCCAAGGCCCGCTGCGATCGGAACCTCGAAATCTCACTCCATGCTGTCAGCAGCCGCAAACATGTCGCCTAGCTCCCGGGTGCCGGGCTATGGTGGTCCTCACGGTGTCAGACAGTCCAAGTCGGCCCAGTCTCTCAACTCGCGGTATGCGGGTGTGCGCAAGGCATCTGCTGCTCAGCGGTCGCCTCTCAACTTCTCGACATTTGCTGAAGCCGGTTTGAACTCGTCCAAGGCAGACATGGCATCTATGCTGCAGCCAACTGTCACTACCAACGCTCTGGCTCCCCCGACGCCGCTGACTCCGGAAGACATGCATCACTTGCTTCCGACATCGCCAAGCGACAGCTACTGTCTGTCTGCGCAGCCATCTGCCCAGTTCTTCCCGACCACACAGCCCATGCAGATCAATGTCGCATCTCCCCCAGCTACGCCCATGACCGTGGATCTGATGTCATCGTATCCGTACCAAAGCGCCGCGCCTCCTATGTCCGCTCCCGCCCACTATACGAGCTTCCCTGACTATGCCACTTCGGCCCCTTGCGAAACCGGTCCTTTGACGGCTCGCAGCTGGAGTGACGCGCCTACCATTCCCTCGCCCGATCCTTCCTACCATATGCAGCCCGCAGAAGTCTCCCCGATCTCTTACGACGCAAGCGGGCACGCTGGCGACCATGTAGCTATGTCCCCTTCGATGTCCTTGACTGGAGAGGAGAAGTTCATGATCCAGGAGTTCCCTGACCAGCAGGAAGCTCACCGATTCGTTGCTCAGCAGCTTCCCTCGCAAACACCGAAGCAATACACTTTTACGAACAATCAAACGCCGAACGACTTTTGAATAGACAACCTCACAAAAAGAGAAAATGGAAACGAAAAAAAAAAAAAAAAAAAAGTGCTATCGCCCGGCCATTGTGGGAATACATTTCGATTCTTCTTCGCTATAATTATTCTTTACTTTCTATATTATTTTCTGGCGGGTCAGTTTATACGAGTGTCCGGTGATCGGAGCATTACTTGTGCATTATATTGTTGGTGTTTTGTTCTTGTCTTTCTTTCGTCTGTTGGAGCGGCCTTCTCTTCCTTTCTTCTGTTGAACTTTTGGGGATTGGTCCAATCCCGACAATACTTTTATCTCTTCTTTGTCTTTTTTGGATTTGCATATGGATATACTGGGAGCGGTTGGGTCTTGTTTTTGGCACATATGGAGGCTTTTGTTTCTTGTCACGTGTTTATTCTGAACTTTTTGTACAGTCTGTGCCTCTATGTAATACATACTCTAATGTGGGTGATGCAAACGCACACCCTACCATTCGCTAGAAAACGATTATTTCAACGTTTCTGTCTCTGTATCTGTATCATCAAATTCGCCACCGATCTCCCATCCATCACCGTTGAATCTAGCATCAGGGGTATCGCACCTACATATACCGTACACAGTAATCCTCAGGCTCATCTCCTGGGCTTTGACGCTATGATGCAGGAAACCCATATCGATCACCGCCAATCTGGAAACTCGTGGCGAGCCTAGTTCGTAGATGAGACGAGACATGCGATTTGAGGCTATTGGGTTCTGAAACATGATGTGCTGATCATCGAGATATCGGTGGCAATTAATATCGAGCCCTCTGTATTTGTACTCCGAACTATGTACGGTGTGCGTTATTAGTGCTTAGTTTAATCTTTATCTATACCCCCCTTTCACGTGTAAGAGTGGACTACTGCCGGGTATAGTTCGATAGTTGGGGATCGTGTATGACGTTGATTTAGGCTTATTCTGGTTGGGGTATGTTTTCCGTGCTTCTTCTGGGTTGTGGGCTGGGCTCTGTATAGTACGTGCTTGTGCTCGGTTGTGTATTTACACACTCGTATCTTCGTACAGGTATTTCTGAATACAGTGAGGCTGGTCCTCCGTGGCTAGTGTTTTCTTCTAATTGCTCGATTGCTATTGATAAAGGTCTAGACAGTGGAAGTACTCTACGGAGAGTACACTCCGAAGTGCTATGTAGAGCAGGTGACAGCCGATAAGCGATTCTTACAGAATGAATTAATTATATTAACTATGCGAGGAGTGTCGATACAGTGTACTAACCACTCCATGGAAAAGAAAATATCTACAAGAGTGGTTGCGACGCTTCCATGCGAAGTTATGTATAGTAGTGTATTTACCTATATAATTCACTACCTAATAGCTTCTATCACAACAAGTGGGCTTGTGGTTTAGTGGTATAATTCCTCATTCGCATTGAGGAGGTCCCGGGTTCGATTCCCGGCGAGTCCACATTTTTTGCTCTTGAGGCCTTTCCACCACCGCAGTTATGGGTGGAGTTCTTCGGATGGCTTTTTATTTTTATTTTATTTTTTTTTTTTTTAGCTTGGAATACATTTCTTTTTGTTCTTTTGTTTTTGCTAAAGAGGGTAGGGTGATGTATTGAGTAATTATATCGTAGAAGATTGGGGAGAATTCGGTTTTACTGTTTGGAGGGAGGTTGTTTAGGCTGTTTTGGCGAGTTCACTAAGTACTTCTCCGTCAATATATATAGCAATGGTTGAAATCCTAATCACCGCACATGCTACTTCCCCCCAACCCACACTAAGCCGTAAGACCAGCACCGGAGGTCCTATTCCCTAATCTAAACGTACACACTGCAATGAGGGAACGAAGTTGGCTTGCCCCGGCGACTCGGCGTTCTTGGTACCGTAAATTGAAACCAGATGAGTAGATATCCATTGCGTTCATTGCAGTTGAGATTCTCTTGAATGACAAGTCGGTATTAAAAGCTACTCGTGTTAAGTTACATTCGTGGGCGAAAGACAAATAAAGAACAAAGAAGAAAGAAAAAAGCTCGGGCTCTTCCTAGCCCAAATCAAGCGACAGCCGGTCTATGCAAGACATGTGTAGTTCGCGTTTCTTTTCCTTTCACCCTGGTTATAGAGCGGGCGAGATGATATCCAGAACAGCAATCGCGTCAAAATCCCCATGTCAATCGCAGCAGACGGAAACATCGGTGCCAATCACCCAGAAGACAGATATGGGTCCGCACCAACATCAACAGGAAGAAAGAAACTCGTACAGTTGACGGATTTGAATGGCAAGGACAACCGGGGTATAATATTCACGATCGCTTCCAAAACTCCCTCCATATGCTTCAGATTCTCTGGCACAGGGAAGGTCGACGAGGAGAAATGGGTGTTGCAGGCACGATTTTATTGGCGGCAGCAATAAACTCCTCCCTTGTCATCTGGTAATTGTCCTTGGAGGATTTGAGTTGCTCGAGCTCTTCATCATGTTTGTCGTACTGATTCGGACCCTTCATTTTAGAGGCCACGAAATTTTTCACCTTCTTTCTCTTCTGCAGTTCTTTGAAGCGTTCTCTCCACCAAGTATCACCAACCATTAGCCACAGGTGCATGCATGGGAAAGTGTACGAATCGAAACATTCACTTGATACAAGCATATGAAACCACATAGCCCCCGAGGTCTGGGACCATTGTACAAGCTTGGAGACCTGTCTTTTCTTTTGGTATCTGGGGATTTTTGCCTCTTCTTCCGCTAGGACTTTCCTGAAAAGGTCGAGGCAGTTGAAATAACGCTCAGTCACCTTGGGGGGGGGGGCTCGTTGCTTTTGAAATCCCACTCTGGATTGATTGGTCGGTCAAGGAGAAGCCACCAGGGAGCCGAGGCAAACAACTGGGCTGGTCCAGCATACACCCACTCGAGTTCTACGACCCCGACAATTATGAGGTCTTCCCTGCTTCTGACAATCATGTTGGCTGGACCGAAATCGTTGCAGATGAGCTTGAAAGGACCTTTCTCATATTCGGTATTCACAAATCGGGACAATAACGAACGCACTATACTTAGTGACGCATATCTGGAGTACCCAACCAGCTCTGCAACGACCGATTTTGGTTGATGTTGAAACTGCTGCCAGTCTTGCTCCATAGTGTACTGGAAATACTCTGTATTGGTTGAGAATCCCTGGCTCCGGTCACCTGAGGAAAAGCAATTAGCAGACTTTGATACCCATCAAAAAATTTTGGACGTACTGAAAGTATTGACCCCCCCCGGTCCGAATAATATCATGTGTATTCCACGTCAGCGTATAGGTACAGAATACCCCGTTTTTGGCGTGGGCAAGCTTCCGATTCGATCAAAATCAATGTCAAAAAGCTGTAACATGATATTCGCCATCTGCCTGTATACGAATTCAATATCGCTTTCTGGGATATCCTCCTTGAGTAGCCTCGCTTCGCCGTCAACGAATATTTTACCTAAGCACACCCCCTCGATCAATTCCATCAGGATAAATGGCCCCAAGCCCAGTGGGTTGCTATCCGCAAGACCCCAGGAAATGATATTCGAAACAGGAATACTCGCCCTCTCGCGAATTAGAGAAACAGCTTCTACCTCCATAGTTAACTTTTTGTCAGCATAATCAGGGTTAGTGCCCATTATCCGGGGGAAACGAAGCAACCCCGCAGTGCCATCCTCGAAAAGAAAATTTTGGCCGAGATTATATGAGCTGTTTAGGGCATTAGAATTTAAGCGGCAGGGGATTTGCCGGGGATGGAAAGTGGTGACCCAATCGCAGAGATGGCCATTTTGGCGGATGGCGTTAATCTTGGTGAGCCAAATCTCTTCTTCCACTTGCTGGGCATACTAAATGCACTTGTTATGGTCCATGATTTGGGTAGGACCCGAGTCAAAAAGAGGGAAGACGGTTTCTTGTGTTGAGTAAGGAGTACCGAGTCTAATGGGGGAGGATAGTGAATGATAAAGAGTTGTCCATTTACTCCGTATGCGATCCCTATCCCCAACCCAAACTATGTAAGAACCATCACTAGCTGCCCTTGTCCGATCTCGGAATTCTCTTCTTGAAAAATTTCCGCAGCTGTTTACGGCAGTTAGTAAAGTGAAATAGTTTGAGTGCTTTGGTAGAACATTGAATTTCACAAACTTTGTCGCTGCTCTTCGCAGCCTCTTTGACTTCAGGCACATCGATGTTTTGCACTATTTGCTCGTTGCTGTTCTCCTGACAGCTACGGTACGTGTGCCCTTCCAGGGACTTTGACTGACCAAATATCTGCTGATAGATTTAGAGACTTATGTATTATAAAGCTGTTCATACTCTCTCTAAAATGGGATAGAGTCCACGGGTTATTGCAGTGAATACAATCAACGGTTAAGTCAGGGCCCATCTGTGTAGCACCGTCTGCCATGCCTCACCATCGTGCCCAATATACTTGTGCCCAGTCAATTTTACAATGCAGCCTTCCGGTGAGATAGCACTCGACATATCCTGGCATTGCCTCATATAGGAGCTGCGCCGCATGCTGTGTTCGAAACCCGATGCCGTTTGCTGTCATTCCGGGACGAAGAACGAGTCGAGTCAATCCGGAGACTTCGGGCTTTAGCATCCTGCTGACTGCATCAAGTACAATGCTCCAGACATAATATAACGAGGCTTGACGATATAGTTTGCTTGGTTGACGGGTACTCCGTACAGTACCGATAATTGGACGCAGAGAAGCGGCGCAGAAGGATACCAAGCTCGTAGCAGAAGAAAAGGAATGAAAAAAAAAAAAAAAAAAAAAAGACATAATAATAGAGCATTCTCCTGCTCTCCCGTGGCCAGGCTATGGCTATTAATTTCATCAATGTTGTTCTTGTTTCCGTTACGATACCTGTAAGCAGATTAAAGTAAAATAAAGGTTCAAATTTACGGTAGATAAGTAATTATTTACGGGCGCCCCCGTGTTCCATATCGCATCCGATTAGGGCTAACTGCCGATAACCGCCGCCTCAACTATTCATCCCAATTAATTGCTTCAACTAAAGAAAAGAAGTGGTGTAATTAAAGAAACGAGAAGGAGCTCATGGGGGTTCGAGAATAAGACTAGAATGATTTCTTAGTTGCTATACAGGGATTACCGGCGCCAGCCTGGTGGGGCGTAAGCAATATGACCATCATCGACTGTTTGATTGACGTTTCCAGCATCCTTCAAGGGCGGTAAATTCAAATAAGAGCGATATATGGGAAAACAAGCATGGCTTGGAACTGGGGATAATACAGTATGTTCGAGGCTCACCCGGGCACCCTCCATGGTCGGCTAAGAAAATCAGCATGTAGATAAGAACCACTAGCTTACCAATTTCAAGCTATGGTAGCCTAGACCAGGAACAGTTCAGCATATTGACAGCCGCTATATGCAAGGTTGATAATCCTCCCACCCCGCTAATGACATGACATCTCACGTCGGATCAGGCCACGATGCTCCACCATACGCAGATCAATTTAGTGCTACTTCTCTGAAACTTCATGCCTGCGAATTGACCTGCTGGGCTACTCTATGCACGTGGTTTCGAACAATAGCCGAAAAAGACTCGATGACGCCCTACAGCAATTTCGATATACACTCGCAGTCCAAATCAACGAACTGGAATGCTCAGTGCGTACGACTCGAGTCCCTTTCCTATATGATATTTGCGGCTTTTTCGAAGAGCAAATACAATCCCTGTAAAGAAAATTACGATTTCCCATTTTGGATCCGGGCTTTCTTGCACGAGGGTACCTTTTGGTTCTTTTGTCTATGTGATAAAGTCATTTATCTTAAAAGAAAGGATTCCAGTAATGAATGATAATTACGCCACCATCATACAAGAAAAAAATAAAAAATAAAAAGAAAGAAAGAAAGAAAGAAAGAAGGGGCGGAAATGGAACAAAAAAGAAAGTGATGGAGAAAAGAAAAACAAAGCGTCCCCGGGAAGGCTCGAACTTCCAACCTCCTGATTAACAGTCAGACGCGCTAGCCGATTGCGCCACGGAGACTTCTTATGATAAGCCAAAATATATTTTATATATAAGCCAATATGATAAACGGCTCATTGCATATTGCGGCTATTCACACCCCACATAGTTGATATTCATAATTTTCAATTACGCGAATGAATACTTTTTTTTTTAAACGATGCTCGAGAAATTCGAATACTTGTGACTCAACCAATTCATTGACTGTCACGGGCTCGGACCAGTAGATAATAACGAATTGATATTCCTATCTAAACTAGTGTAGCCATCGACGAGAATATCGAATCTGGAGAGAAAAGGAGAAAGGAATCTATCTACAGGAAAGAGGGGTTTTTATCCATGGGTTCTGTGACTGCGCTAAGTGCTTTCTTTGTTTTGCTTGCATGGTGGCGTTTGTCGATATCAGCCACTGAGGCGGCGTTGAGGCGTTAAGCCGTCACATTCAGTCTTTACCAATAACAAACTCAATGATCCCAGGTTGCATAATTCTAGAAATTTGTCAACTGGGAAGAGCTAACGTAATCCACGGCCGTTCCGTCCACTTCCTCCGCTACCACCACGAATTTGAAGCTTTGCAACCACTAACACCATTAAATTAAAATATATAACAGACAAAATAACTAGCTATTTACTAGGGCAGCTTCGTATTGTATGTCCAACAGTCCTACAGCCACTACAGCGTGGTGAAGCGCGTTGACGAGGCACAGGTGTAGGCTCATCAACCTGCTCATTAAGCTGTGTACCAAGCTGCTGAATATGCTCACGACCTTCTTGTACAGAGATAAATAAACCATTCCCTAGAGAAGCACATTTCCTTGCCTTCTTCTTTATTTTACGTTCACCTTCAGCCCATAGAACCTTGATTTCCTGTTGAAGAAGAAGATTCATATTCATTTGAAGCCAGTCTCATCAAAATTCCAGATATCATCCTCATGTATACCATGTTCTTTAATAGCATCATGTACAGTCCCAAACCATTGCTTTAAGACCTTTGGGTCCTCCTGCTTCACACGCTGGTATGTCATCCTTTGATTGTACCTTGTACATAGTTCAGTACGGCGTTTAATAAAGGAAGAGGCCCAGTTGACTCCAAGGACTGCAGTGGGATCTTGTGTACGTTCATGAAGTAAAATCTGTGCCATTCCACGTAGAAACTCTGGCCGAACTGAAAAGCCTCATTTATCTGCATTGAGAAGTTGTTTGACAAGAGATTCCTCTTCAACAGCGGTCAATTTATGGCCACTGGCGCGTGTTTCTGAGCGTGGTTGAATTCCATTGAGCCGATCAATGAAAGTAGTCTTTGGCACTCCAAAAACTGCTGCAGCCCTTGATTTTGATTGGATTTTTTTGCTTCTATACGCGCTGATAGCCATTTGAATTCGAATTTCTTGAGAAAGGGGCATTTTAGATGATGGTGGTGATAAAATGACGCGTTGAAGTATGATTATTGGAAAATCGCGGAGGAAGTGGACGGGACGGCCGTGGATTACGTTATCTTTCTATAAGGCATGGGGTCTTACATATGATATCCAGGCAGCATTTTAGCAAGCAATGATCCATGAACCAAAAAACCTCTTCAGAGGTTGATGATATTCTTAGAGAGTCTCAATTGATATAAGAAGGGGTCAAGTGTGTGAGGATATTGTCCTGCATAAAAATACACAGTGACATAGTGAATATATCTGCTATTAAGTAGTTGGTTCTTGCTGTGTTAAAAGGATTTACCTTGTCACAGAGCATGAAATTTTAAAGTGGTGAAGTATCTGTTTTGGAGCCTGTCACGGGCTCGGTAATTAGTAGATAAAACGAATGATATTCATATCTAGACTAGGTAGCCTAACGACGAGAATATCGAATATGGAGAGAGAAAGAAGAGGAAAGGAAGCCGTCTGGCAAGACAAAGGAAAACTATCTACTCATCGTGCGATTACGTGTGGGAGGCCTAGGGCTCGTCGTTTGCTCATATTGCTCCGTTGGCAGCGTTTGCCAGAATTGGCAGTTTGTCATTAGCCGTTCACCGTCACAATAGTTGGTTAAAGACTGGATACAGGTGAGGGAAGGAAGGCTTATTTATAGATGATGTTGAAGCGGGTAGCTTAGGATCGGGGAATCGGGGAGTGGATAATCCGGACTGCACGAGGCTATATAGAGGAGAACTTTGATTTACACGAAAAAGATTATCAGTCCGTATGACCAATAGCCTCTTGCCAGTTTCTCGCTCAACCTGGCGAAGCCATAGCTCCAGTGTGTTCTGCATTGAGCTAGATATCCGATTCTTCTTGATGAAAATCCATGAATGACTCGTACAATCATCTACCAGTGAAAGGTAGTATCTTTCTTCGCCCATACCTCCATCATATGGGCCCCAGTAATCCATATACACACGTTGGAGCGGTCTCCTTGCTCTAGGGACTGGTACGTGGCTCTGGTTTTTCACCTGCTTTGCTTTGACGCATAGTTATCTCGCAATCATCCCCCAGCAGCTTATCCCGTTGACTGACTTTCAATTCATCCATATCCAGGGCTTTGACGCAGCCGGTAAAGCGTCCCCTCCCAAGATGCCCAAGTCGTGGATGATGAGTTCCCGTTTTCGTTCGATCTTTTAATCGACGTTGGTGGAGTGCGCCCCATTCCTTGCCATTTGCCTGTTGGCCATCCTGCCAATGGCTGGCTGTCCCTGGATGTATTCGCCAGTCCGCCTCACTTGCTCTGATTTGATGTACAAAGCATCCTTATATGCAACTTTGTCCAAGTAGGTGGATTTTCCGATTCTCCGTCCTTTGGCAACCACTTTGCCGTTTTTCAGAAGTGTGTACTCTTTGATTGAGCCCCTTGACTCATATCCCGCAATATGGAGCGCTTCTAACGACAATATATTCTCTGCCAAACCCGGCACATATATGACGTTACCCAATCGGACTTCCGAGCCTTTTGACAGGCGGAATCTGACTGTTCCCCTGCCCAAAATAGGCATATGGACCCCATTGGCGATAGTTATGGTTCCACGGCTCTTCAGGTCCAATTTCTCAAAGATATCCCTATTCCCTGTGGACATACTCGTCGCTCCGCTAACAAAGCACCATACCGATGGATTGCTGCTTGCTCGATTTCCTCTTTCATTTGTGAATCGGCCTATTCCCGATCTTTCTACAGTGTACGAGCTGAATTCATCCATACCATCATCATCATCATCATCATCGCCGCTTTGCACTCCGGCGAATCTATCCTTCTGCTTGGTTGATGACGTTTCTCGTTGACCTTCTTGTCGACTCTTGGGCTTCTGTTGATCCTCATTGTCAACATCCACATGCTTGTTCCGGCATTCCCTCGCGAAATGCCCGGCCTTGCCACACACATAGCACTTGGACTTCTTTTTCTTTTTCTTCTGCTTGCCATCATTGTACGCTCGTGACCCTTTTTCCCCTGCAGATCCTCCTTTCATCTGCATAAGATCCTCGATCCGGTCTAGGACATATCCCTTGTCCAAGGTGGCGTTTGAGCTCATTATGGTGTCTCTCAATGTGGCGTATTGGCCCCCTACTCCACGCAGATACCATAGTACAACCAGTTTCCTGACACTGATCAATTCACTGCCATTCATGTCGATGAGTTCCTCTCCCAATTGGTTGATTTCTCGGAAAGCATCTTTCTCATTCAACCTTGAGTTATCCCAAGTCCAATTGGCCATCTTCATCAACTTCATAGCCTTCTTGGTGTCTGATGACTTCTGGAACATCTCTTTCAGGCAATCCCACTTTGATCCTGCGTTTGGTTGGTCCTTGACTTCCAAGATAGTCGCTGGCGTGAGCCCCTGCTCAATGATTGAATCGGCTTTCAAATCGATTTTAAACCAATCCATATCATCACCTATGATTGAAGCGTACTTGGTACCTCCAACTTCATAGTAATACCGGATTGTTTGCCAGCAGAATTGGATCTTCAACTGCTTCTCCATCGTATGGAACCAGTATCGAGCGTTTTCCTCATTCAGCTTATCTATTGAGAACCGGGATATCTTGATTCCATTCTCTTTCACCGGTTTCCTTTCCTCTTGCCGTACATTCGATCGTTGGGCTCTTTCCGTTGATCGCGGCATAGGATTATCCGTGATATCAGATTCTTCAACCATTATAGCGTTCTCACGGCTCGATGGGCTTCGCCGAGCGGATTATTGGCCGATAATCGCATGGGAAGGTCTCGAGAGTAAGGCTCGCGGTCTGGTATTGATCGATCGGTCTATATAAGCGGTAAAGCTAGTTAGTATAGAAGCTCCAGGATGCCTTGCGTTTGTTAGACGTCGATAATAGGCAGGCTCGGGCTCATAATCAATGAAGAGAGCGGGTAGCTCAGGGATCGGGGAATCGGAGAATCGGAGAGTCGATTATCCGGACTGCACGAGGCTATATAAGTAACACGGCAAGCCATAGCGGCCAAATTGCAATAACCCAAAATTAGATTTTTCGAACGGCAGAATCCTTGCACTAAAATATAGTCTAACTAGTTAACTAGTTTTTGAACACCGTACAGAGTAGTTTAGCTAGGAGACAGACAGTTCCGATCTGTCCGTCGTATGTCCCGCATCGGGACCAGGGATTCCCCGCTTCCGCCTCCAAGGAAGCGTGGAAATACCCGACCCTCGACGGAGAGCGATCCCCTGGTCGGATAGGACGTTTCGCATCCAGTCACGCTCGTCTTGGTGCAATGGGCACTCTAGCAGGACATGATTCACCGTCTGATTGCCTACTGTCCACCTTGCAGACCGTAACGTAGGCAGTGCAATGGTGTCGGCGAGGACAGCCATCAAAGAAAGACAGTCAAATGAAAGCAGTCAACCATAGATGATGTCGGATGTGAGAATCAGACATAATTATTTCGTCTGGCACAGAGGTCCGTAGAGTGTCGGGCCTGTGATCTCCTCCCAGCCCTCATAGCCAACACAACGGTAGCACCAGAACACACCATCGGGGTCATACTTCTGCTTGACGGCCTGAATCTTAGAGGCACTCTGAGAGAAGATTGCTTGGAACATGGCCGTGAGGCTCTTGTGATTGTTGACCAAGGACTTCTTATCAAAAAATCGCGACACCATGACAGGACTGGGATTGTTTGATGCTGGTGACTCATGATTTCCACCGTCGAAGTAATCCTGGAACGTATCATACTTCTCAAATGTCGAGATCACAGAGAGTTTGGTCCCGTTGAGTGGTCGAAGGAATTCAACGACCTGCTTATTTATGACTCTCTTTGCCTCTTCAATTTCGGAAGACGAGTTGAAAGAAGAGGAATTCCTTGAAAGCATCTTCCCGAAATTGTGACTGTAGGCAGATTTCGTTCCAAGCACTCGATTTAGCTGTCCGTTTCCGGAGGAAACCTGCATCCGAGAGGATGGGGTATTTAGAAAGAACTGACACAGAGGCATTGATTAAAGCGGACATGTTAGTGCTCGGTGCTGCGCTAGTCAACGAATGCTTCAGAACGGGACGCGTAGGGTGTACTTTGATAGTGGCTGATACTACAACACCAAAGGTGCCACCACCACCGCCACGGAGGGCAGTGAAGAGGTCTATGTGCTCGCAAGCACTAGCGGTAACAACCTCGCCTGATGTGAGCACAACCTTGAATTCGAGAACCTGGTCTGCTGCCAGTCCAAAATCGTGGCTAGCAGGACCGTGACCACCTCCCTGACGGTAGCCTCCGACAGCACCGACAGTCAAAAGCTTGCGATTAGCAACATAAGTATATTCAAGGAAGTTGGATATTTACCTTGGAAGAACCACCAACAGCAATGTGGTCATATTTGGCCGCAAAGGTGTATACTTCGTTCCAGATATATCCTGCTCCCACAACAATTGCACTTCCGGTCCAATTGGACTGGCATGAACTGTTGGACGGCTGATACTTCTCCTGGAACTGGAGCTCGGGCTTGATATGCTTCATCCAGATCGACAGACTGCCGTATCCCTGGGATCTATCAGAGCGGACTTGTTAGTGTCTGTCCGCCAAGTAAAGATGAGAAGGAACACTTACCGTGCCCTGACATCATGACCGGTGTTCTTAATAACCAGTCAGACATTGTTTTCCTTGGCAAATTTGATACCAGCTGCAACGTCGGCCGGCTTGGTTGCGTTGACACTGTAGACGGACGCGCTACCCAAATCGCACACTGGGCTTCCAGCTATCGAGCCATTGATCGGAGCACAGGTGTCAACAACAGGATATGCGAATCCAATTGGAGATGCTTCCCAGAAGAAAGCATCCTGGTAGATTTTGCTGATCTTCTGACACTGCGTGGAATTCTTGCCAAGGCCATCGTAACAGGGTTTGGCGAGGGGTTCGTTGGCGATTAGATGCCCGTGAACAGTGCCGTTGAGACCCTTCCACTTGGAAACTGAGGGCCAGCAGTCGTCGGTTGGGGTCTGTATGAATTTGACAAGTTAGTTTGGCCTCTGTTATGCACGTTCAGACCATACAAGTAGAGGTGACATCACGTACACATCTGCATTTGGCCAAGACGGACGGCACTCCAAGAAGGAGCAAAAGACTCGTAAAATGCATCTTCCTTGATGACTGAATAGATGCAGACTCGATAAACGGTCCCTTTACCTTCTTATGAGATTTCTGATTCCAGTTCCTCAGGCGGCTCCGGCTCCCAAATTCGAAGTCAGAATTGTTGGTCGAGCGAAATATCAAGGGCCCATGAACAGTCCATCTTGCTCGCAATTAGTGAGGCTTTGCGGATCAGCGAGTCTTGGCCACAATCTAACCCTCTATGGACGCGGTTCTATCTTTCTGCACTCGAGCACTCAGCCTCTATGGTCCACCTCATTCCGAATTCCGCCCTTTTTATAGAAAGGGTCGGCGAATCAGCTGCATCATGGCTTCTCCTGCCCCACCTAATTCGAGCTAAGCTTTGTAGTCGGGAAAATTTCCGAGAGCCAAGAAAAGCTTCATAGGACGTAATTTGTCATGCCCCATCAATCGGCAATAACTTGGCCACGAGCTTACCTCCTACGCTCGAGGGGCTCAGCCATGCCGATCATAAGCAACCCAATCCTCGCCCAAATCTGACATGACGGGGCGTTGCCGATCCCATTCTCCACTCTGAAAGTCTTGGCATTGGTTAATTCCTTTTTCGGTTTTGAGGGCCGA